GCTACCGGATTGAGCCACCCGAACAGGCGAGCAACCAAGCCCGCTTTTCAAACGCGAAGGAGCCACCGGATTGAGTCACTGAAAAGGCGAGCCCGAGCCACGGGACCATTGCAGATTGACTGAGCGGGCCATAAGATTGAGCCACCGACCGGGGATACCAGATTCAGCCACCGAGCCAGCGGATTGAGAGCCACCGAGTCATCATCGAACAGGCACCAAAGAGCGGATTGAGCCTCCGAACAGGTTGAGCCACCAAGCGCGAGCTGCCCAGCCACCAGATACACGAAAAAGGCGAGCCACCGAACCACCAAGCGCAGGCCACCAAGCCACCAGATTGGGCCGTCGAACAGGCGAGCCAACAATCGAGCCACTATAAAAAGCCACCGAACGGGCAAACCACCAGCCATTTGGATCACCACCACCGAACGGGCCGAGCCACTAGTGGGTCGAGCCACCAAGCATCCCACGAGGCTCCGAGCCATCACATCTGAGCCACCGAACGGACGAGCATCGTGAGCCACCGAGCCACGAGATGGAGCCAGCACAAGCCACGGACAAGCCGCAGAGCCACAGCCAGAGCCACCGAGGATTGATCCATCAACCGACCAACCGAGCCACCGCGTTGGGCCACTGCTTGCGCGAGAAACGGCAGTGAGTCGAGCGACCGGTCTGAGCCGCGTGCAAGACGCCAAGCTACCAAATTGAGCCATCGCACTCGCAGCCACCGAGCTGCCAGTTTGAGCAACCGAACACAGAGCCACCGAGCCACCAGATTGAGCCACCAGATTGGGTTGCCAGATTGGGTCACCAGACTGAGCCACCCCGCGCGGGGGTGCGAGCCACCGAGCTGGCAACCGAGCCACTGGATCGAACCTGCACCGAGCCACCAGTTTGAGCCAAAGAGAGACACGTAGCTCAGAAATCCAGCAAAGGCCACCCGCATACAGGGAGACAAAGTGAAACAAAGCAAAGCCCAAGAACCCGACAAAGGCAGTTACATGAAGGGAGACAAAGGGAGATGGTGGAGCGCGGCAATAGCCACCATGAAGGGAGAAGACAAAGGGAGACAAGGAGGACAAAGTGAGACAAAGGAACACAAAGCGAGACAAGGAGCCCATGAACCCGGCAAAGGCCACCTACATGAAAAGAGACAAAAGGACACGAAGGCAGACAAGGCGCCCAAGAACCCGGCAAAAGGCCAAACTCGAAGCCCGACCCTCTAAAGCCCTAACCTTAGAGACCTCTAAACCTCTTCGAGAGCCCGAGCCAAGAACCCTTTCCCAAAACCTACATCAACCCTAAACCCTAAACCCTAAACCCTAAACCCTAAACCCTAAACCCTAAACCCTAAACCCTAAACCCTAAACCCTAAACCCTAAACCCTAAACCTAAACCCTTAACCCTAAACCCTACCCTAAACTCTGACCAGCAGCGGTTGGGTTTGATCTCCAGATCGGACCGAGATCTCCCGGTGTACCGCGACGAAGGGCCCCGGCGCCGGTCCGATGACCGGCTCCCACTGGCCGCAAACATCAGAGTCCTGCTTAGGGTTTAGGGTTTAAGGTTTAGGGTTTAGGGTGTCAGGGGAGGGCGCGCGCTCGGGTGTGAAACGCCCCGGGCCGCGCGCTCGCGTTGCCCGTCAACCCACCCCGGCCACCCAAACTATACTCTATTAGGGTTTAGGGTTTATGGAATTTATTTTCTTGCGCTCTGATGCTTGCGTTGATGCTTTTAAAGTTGCGCTGTTAGGGTTTAAGCTGGGGTTGGGGGTAGCCTCGGCCCTTTTCGGGCCTTCGGCGTGTCAGGGCCCGTAGAGGCCCTTATTTATTTGAAGGTCAGGGAAACCCTTTGTGCCTGCTCCTGGATTCCCCTTCTTTAAGGGCTTCAAGCCTTTTGGTGGCTCTTGGGGCCTTTTGGGGGCTTCCTGGGGGCTTTCCTGGCCCTGGTGTAAAATGAAGGAAAAAACCATCGATTTCAGTACCAAAAAATCGCAGTTTTCATTGCGGGTACGGGCATCCTGGGGTCCGGGCCTTTTGAAGCCTTTTGGTGGCTCTTGGGATCTCTCGGGGCCTTGTTCGGACGTAGAGGCTTTATTCATTTGAAGGTCAGGGAACCTATTAGTTGTTTTTCGCCAATGAGTATTTCAATCGCTAGGGTTTAAGCTGGGGTTTGGGGTAGCCTCGGCCCTTTTCGGGCCTTCGGCACGTTAGGGCCCGTAGAGGCCCTTATTTGCTTGAAGGCCTTCGCAGGGTTTTGCGGTGTTGGCCCTTTTCGGGCCTGCTGATTTGGGGGCTTCCTGGGGCTTTCCTGGTCTTTTGGGGTGAAATGGAGGGGTGCCCAAAGCCATCGATTTCAGTACTAATAAACAACATTTTTCATTGCGGGCAGGGGTGCCTAAAACCATCGTTTTCAATATTCAAAGATCGCATTTTTCATTGTCGGCAATCTTGTGGTCCCCCTTCTTTTAGGGGCCTTTTAAGCTGGGGTTCGGGGTAGCCTCGGCCCTTTTCGGGCCTTCGGCACCCGTAGAGGCCTTTGGGCCGAGCCCTGCCTTCGGAGTTTTTCTTGGAATGGGGGTTCTTGGCTTGGGGCCCTGGGCTGGGGGCGTCGGGGGCCCTTGGGGGGCCCTTGGCCCGGGGGGCCCTGCTTTGCCCGGGAGGGGGCTCGAAAATCCGTCAAAAACCCAATTAACAACCCGCCTGCCTGGACCCCTCACCAGCCTCCTAGTCCAGGAATCCAGCCACCAAGGCCAGGGCGCCTTCGGGGGGAGGGGGGTTGGGGCCCGGCAAACCCTGAACCCAAAACCCTGAACCACCTCCACATGCAAAGGGTTGGGGTTGTACTTTAAAGGTGGTCTGGGTGCCGGCCATCCCTTAGCCGAGTACTGACGTTGTCGTAAAATAGGCCGATGTCCGTTGGCCCGTCCAGGACAGACGGTGAGGCTTAACCCTCACCTTTCCGTTTCTCTTTTCGCTTGGGGGGTCGCCCTCGGCCGAGCGTTCGGGATCTGTCGCTCGACGGAAGCGACCCCTCACTTAGTTTAGGGTTTAGGGCTTAGGGCTTAGGGCTTAGGGCTTAGGGTTTAGACTTCAGGGTTCAGGGTTCAGGGTTCAGGGTTCAGGGTTCAGGGTTCAGGGTTCAGGGCTCAGGGTCTAGGGTCTAGCTCCCCTTAACCTTTGTCACCCTGAATCCTGCCCTGAGACCCCAAAACCCTAAGACTGGCTAACACCCTAAAGCCGAACAACGACCCTAACACGCTGAGACCCCAAAATCCGGGGCGCCCTCACACCCTAACCACTAAACCCAAAACCTTTAAGTCCTAAACCGTCAACACTAAATCCAACGTCGAGTGACGATTTTAAGGTGTAGATGTCGGAATCCCCGGCTTATGCGTTTCAGGGTGCGGGGTTTCGGGTTTTGGGGTTCAGGATCCTGCTTGGAGGGCCAGGAGGGCCTGGCTTAGGGTTTAGGCGTAGAGAACTTCGAGCAGAGGGTTTGAGTGCTCTGCTTAAGGGGGTACAGGATGCTGACAAGTAGACCCCAGAACTTCTCCGAACGCTCTTGCGTCCTGCCGGATGTAAAGGAGCTGCGGGGCCTGCCCCGCAGATAACTTCAGATAGGCCCGCTCCCGTTTCAAGGGATGAAGAGGCTGCACATCTGCAAATAGACACCTGGGCGCAGGAAGGGCATGGAAGAGTCAGAGGCACGGCCCGACTGAACCGTTCATTTACATGGCGGCTCCAAGTCAATCTAAGATTTACGTTCGGAGACCTGAGAAGACTTCAGGAAGCTATCCACATTGATCGGATGATGTTTACTGGTAATGAAGCCGAGAAGACCAAGACACCAACCCAGGTTGTCGATGTAGCGGATGAACACGAGCCCATGCTCGTTCTGAAACTCGAGATGCGCCGTTCTCTCAAAAAGGCCCGAGCAGTCATCCCAGCCACAGTTCCCAACGCGAAGTAGCGAGAATTCTGGGCTTTTGGGTTGGCCGGGCTCCTGCACCAGTTGAGGCAGTTTGCTGGCCTTCTGAGCAGCACCCACGGCTTCTTGCCACTCACGCATGCAAGCCTGAAGCGAGGGAGGTTGCTTCGGCACAAGTGACACGACACCACCAAAGTCACTGCTGCATGGCTGCGGCAACGCCACGCCGCAATCCGTTGCGTAAAGTCGTGCTCGCTCCCAGTCTGCTCCAAGAACAGCTGGAAGGAATGTGTTCTTGTCATCGCAATACTTCTCCAAGCAAAGGGATGAATCGTCAATGATCTCACGGACGCTGTAGCTGCGCTGAATTTGCTCCTTGGCCACCGGGTCAAAGGCAAAGAGCTCGAGCGAGGAGTGCATTCTGCCGATCTGGTGCGGCACCTTTGTGCGAACGACCGACTTGGCCGCATCAATCTCAGCAACATCGACGGAAACACTCCGGCGAATGCTGAAGTGGTTCCCCACCCTAGAACAGTGATCCACGAAGAAGCTTCCCCCTTCCAGCATCGGAACTCCATCAACTCGGATTTCTGCACCGCGAGGGAAGCCGTGGCCCGGAACGGTCAGCTTGGTCTCATACTCGCCGCACTCGATCTTGGCGACACGACCCGAGCCCGGCATGGCGAACCAAGCCCTGCACTCCTACCGAGATGCCCCCTTTACGGAACCTTGGCCTCAAAGGTTCAGGGCTCAGGGTGTTAGGGTAGAGGGCTTTAGGTGTCAGACCCCATCACCAGGAAGCAAGCAGGCATGCGCGAGTGTGGTGCATGTCGCGAACCCCCCCGACGTTTCAAACAGCTGAAGGTTTGCTTCGGGGTGACAGGGCTTAGGATTCCCCCTATTAGTAGTAATACATGTGGAATACATTCGCAAGCCTCCTAGGAATAATCATAGTCCATATACAGTAGCATGGCGTTCGAGGCTGGCCATCAAGAGCATGGATCAGCTGCTGACTCAAATCGCAGCATATTGATTGCATACAGCACCATCACTGTCTAGAGAAACTAGTTCGCCTCACACAGCATGTCCATCAAAATGACAGCTGGGTCGGCTTGCTGGACCTGCCACATGCGACTTGGTGTGGCAAACTACCAGAAATTGAGAAACTGGAGTTTGTGAAAGCTGGGAAATGCTGATTCTGGGGAACTGTGGATGTGCACATCGCCATCTGTGAAGGCGTGTCAACACAGAAATCGGTCAAGACGGCTCGAAACGCGCCGTTGTTTCTTGCAGACCCTCGTCTCCACGCTTCATCTGGGAGTTTTGCAAAGCTGGTTCCAGTGCTCTCCAGTGCTGGTTCCTTCCTGGGTCCCCTGGGTCCCCCTGGGTCCCCAGCGCGAGTCCGTGGTCCACCCTCGAGGCTGAGAAGCGTCGCCTCTCACTCTCTCCCCATACTCTCGTGTGGAGCTTTACTGGGGAGGCAGCTGAGGCAGCCGAGCCTCGGCCATCACAAGCAGTCGAGGCAGGTGACCTGAGAGTACAACTGATGACGGCGCATGCGGCGGCTTCTGAAGCTGAAGCTGAAGCTCCACACCGGCTTGATCCACTGCAAGGATGGACTCTGCCACCAAGGCAACCGTCGAAGCGTCAGGCCTCAAGGCAGCTGCAAAGCTCATTTAAGGCCATCTTTGCCGTGTAAGATGAAGACAACGGACCGAGAAGGTGTTCTGATATGGATCTGGGCACCCCGCCGAACATTCCAGACACTCTCCGTCTCGTGTGCCAGATGACTCAGCTTCACTCAAGGCTTCAGCGACCGCGACCGAGGTCTACGAAACGGCAACAAAGGGGAACATCCTTGCTGTGCTTGTGCGCAAGAATGATGGGGACAATCTTCATGTTGGGCCATGGCAGTACTAGCTGCCACTTCGAAGCCGCGGCGCAGCTCCTCCCATGACGTGTTGACTCGGGAAAGAAGTTTGCTTGTCTATTCCCCATCCCAGCTCTCCCCAATCGGCTCTCCTGACCACTTCGGCAAACCCCACCGTGTCAAGCGAAGGCGAAGTGCTCGAATCCAAAGGGGCGGAGGCTAGAGAAAGCCTCAGTGCCATGTAGACCGACAGTTGGACAGCCAGGATGATGGGGCGGCAGAGGCCTGCTTATTGAAACGGGAGACATATCAAAGAACCGCATGCAAACAGTTCAAAGACGACAATGGCGAGGCACGAATGGCGCCAGGCCCCTGCAGCCGCCAAGGCAGAAAGCGCAGCATTTTGAGCAACAACCTGAGACACGCCGCTGCACGTTCGCTGCACTCACTTCACTTACTGACGGCATCACTGGCGATTGATCCACCATAGATCACTAAAGATGCAAACACACATGCTTCCATCCATACGTGTGTATACACACACATATACATATAGACATATAGATATCATACATGCATGCATACATTCATACAATATAGAAATATGTGTGTGTGTATATATATACACGCCTCTGCACACGCCCACCGAAAAGGCTGCGGTCCGCACGGTCGTGGGCACTCCCAGACCTTGCGGAGACTCAAATGCTGGGGAGAGAACTTTCCAACATCTGTGTTCCATCAATTCCATTTTTCTGACGTTTCGGATCTAGCCCTGGGGCCAGTGCCCCGCATCTCTTGCAGCACTTCCAGGGCTTCGACCTTGCGCTTCGGGGCTGCGAACACAAGAGACGGCGTGTATCCGCAACCTTGAGTCACCCCGAGTCTGCTCAGCTTGGCTAAGTCCAGCTCAGACATGAGACAGAAGATGACCCGCGGTCAATGGCTTGGGGCAGGGCTTTCACCCGAAACATGCCGCAATGCAGTCCTGTTCTTCGCCCCAGTTGGGCTTACGAGTGCCATTGCCGGCCCAAGTGTCCCGGTGTTCCTGTTCCTTTGCGTGCACGCCCAAGGGCACGCAGTACTCCAACAGTTCACTGGGCCAGCGGCCCAGCATGCGCCGCGAGCGCAAGCACTCAGCAGCACGCCGCAAAGGACGGACTGGGAAGGTGTTCAATTCATGGGTTTAGACCATTGGGCATGGGCTGCAGGTCTCGAGTCTCGATGCAAAGCCACTTAAGCTACGGGTAACAAGGCAGAGTCGCAACTGGAAAGGTGTTCAATGGTGGATTTAGACCGGTGGGCATGGGCTTAGAAAAATCACGTTTTAGAAGTAACAAGCTCGCCCGAGTCTTGGGGCACGGCATTGGTGGCAATATTGCGCTTTGCAGCGCTCGCCAGCAGCACCATCCTGAGCAACGATGCGCTAATTGCTTTGCCATATTAGCTTTGCCGACGTCGGGCAGCCAATCCAAAGGCGTCGTCGACAACTCGAGGGCCACTTTTCAGCCTGCTTCGCTTTTCTTCTCCTGCGGATCTGCGCCGCCCTGCGGTCTCAAAAAAACTCCAACCCGTCAAGCCGTAGCCCCCGCCCGGCCCATGGCTCAATTGAGCTGACAGATGCACGACTGGTTAGTGGCAGGTTCAAAAACAGGATGGCCCTTGTCTGAGTCTCCGTTATGGTATTGTCCTTCTTATTGAGGGTGCTGAAAAGGGCCCCTGCGTTAGATTCTTTAGATCCGGCCCAGGTTCCCGCTTCTGAGGGCCCAGCGCAAGCTCCCATTGGTGGCCTAGGAGGAAAATTCTGTCGGGTCATGAGGTAAACAGGGCAGCCGCTTTCATACTCCTACTCTAAGCTGGAAAGTCCAAGCCTGGCTATGCTCGGCTAGATTTGGTTGCCGGAGGCATCCTTGAAGAAACAGGGCTATGACTCCGAGCACAATTTGCAAAATCGGTGGCATCAAACCGTGTTTGTTTGCTTGTTGCCATGTCTGTTCGCTGGCGTGATCCGTGAAGAAACGCTGGCCGGGCTGGCACATGCTGGGAGGCCCTGCACGCTTCGCAGGCACTCGCAGCCGCACCAAAGGTGAAAGCGTTGGGATTCACCTTGTGGGTACCTGCACGGCACATTGCCATGGCGCACCCGGAAAGCGGCACAGCATGCGGAAATCCACCATAATCAGCTCTTCGCAAGGCCGGAAGTTTCCGTAAGGTTCCGGCCCATCTCTTTCAGCAGTGCCAAGGCCATCTCCCAGCGCAGGCCCTGCATAAGCTTGACGCTCTTCGAACAGACTGGGAGACTACAGGAGTGAACCGCATCTTGTCTACAAAACCTAAGTCATCTGACCGACGGATTGCCTCCCAAAATGTCATTGCAAACCTGGTCCGTATCTCCCGCCTTCTCACAGGCGGAAATGGCCGTGCTAAATGACACAACGTCTGGGTTCAGCTCAAGAGAAGGCATCTCCTCTTGCGATCGTGCAGGCACTCATGGAAAGACATGCAGCTAACATCACCTGCATGCTCTCCTCTAGCAGCTGCAACGCAAAGTCCCATCGACGGCATCGCTCTGCCACAGTCAGGAGCCTTGGGCTCAGGGGGCATTCGGCCAAGATTTCGGGATGCTTCGCTGCTCCGAGGCACGAGTTCAAGGTGTAGATGTCCTCAACGAGACCTCGTGGACTGTTTCAGGTCTCACCGCTTCCATGGGGAGGTTGACTAGCTACATGCCTGAAGTATGTCTGGACATATCTGCTCAGAACACAGGCTGCAGTGGCTGCAACCCAATTATTTGATCTCACACTCACCTCCTAATAATTACGTGACGCATAGATGCGAGTTTCTGCACAGACGCTACTCATACACTCATAGACTCTACACCACGCTGCCACTACACACGCGTGCCATGCGAACCCATGCCTCGTCGTCGCAGTTCGGTGCGGAGCTCGTTTGCCTGGTCCCAGCGGTGGCAGGCACTCAGCGCTGCATTGAACCTGAGCCGTCAAAGACCAAGCTTGCCACGTGAGGAGAACATAGAGACAAATTTTGACACAAAGATGCCATCCACTTCTCATCATGTCTTAACCTGCTCTTCTCTTTGCAGGCCTTTCTCTGAAACTTCTGCGTGTGACTGCATCACAGCACCCTGTGCGCCACACGTAACAATGTCTGGCTCAATGCCAGCTGTGTCGAGGGATTCCAGCAGTGACAGCACTGCTTCTGACAGCATGAAGCCATGGAATTCCACTGTGTTCGGAAATCTACGATCAGTCCCTCTTGCCCCTCCGTCGGGCATGCCGGCAGCGGCAACGAACACTTGCGGCCTTCGTTCTTGCCTTTCTGGCACGCGCTGATCGCCGAGTTGAACGTCACCACATTGGGCCTCACCTTGTGGCTCAACAACTTTAACACGCTAGACCCATCTGTTGCAACAATCATCTCGTCTGGCAGAGTCCAGCAGCTCTGATTCTCCAGCTTACAAAACTGATTTCCATCCCTTTGCACCTGCGCAGCCGGCATGTCTGAGAGCAGCTGCAAGGAGCGCTGCCATCCGCCGACCTGCGAAGAAATCTCAGGACATGGCAAGCACCTTCACCGCAGCTGCGGGACCGCCTAGCCTTCTCCAAAGAGCTCAACACAGCTCCGAAGGAGATGACATCGGGAGACAAGCGGAAGGCAGGCCTCCGAGCAAGAACCACTCAGACTCCAGGAGAAGAAAAACAAAACAGAAGCGGCTTTGACACTGGCAACGGCCAGCAACGAGTCCATGTCACATGTCTGAGTTGGGGTCATGCTGCAAAGCAGCGACGTGGCCACTGCCCAGAGGCTTGCCTGCAGAGTCGGGACTCGGGCATTTCGGAGAGTTTCGGTGAGTTTCGGTGAGTGTCCGCTTCAGAGCAGACCGCAGCTTGACCTCCCGGCAGCAAGCTGCCTTGCCGCAGACCGCAATGCAGGCGTTGCACAGCCCTGTGTCCACTGCGCCGCCTCCTGCAGTTTGAGCAACTGCTGGAGCCCTTTCCAAATCTCACGCAGCGATCTTCAACATGACCGCTACCCTTAACAGCAGGTAAGAAGGTCGAAGCCAGGTGCAAAGGCGAAGGACCTCCAAGAGAGCTCAGGAGCGCCAAAGCCTCTGACCAGGCACAGGGCGGGCTGTGGCAAGGAAGTGTCGGGCTCTCTAATCTATGGTCTCTGTTGCACAAGGGCACCGAAATTTAGGGCGTGAAAGGGGACCATAGAGAACTCACCAAATGGCGCTTCTACTCCAGAGTTAGACCCCCCTAATCCCTAATCCCTAGCCCCTAGCCCCTAGCCCCTAGCCCCTAAACCCTAAACCCGAAACCCGAAACCCGAAACCCGAAACCCGAAACCCTAAACCCTAAACCCTAAACCCTAAACCCTAAACCCGAAACCCCAAACCCGAAACCCGAAACCCGAAACCCGAAACCCCAAACCCCAAACCCCAAACCCCAAACCCTAAACCCTAAACCCTAAACCCTAAACCCTAAACCCTAAACCCTAAACCCTAAACCCTAAACCCTAAACCCTAAACCCTACCTAAACCCCCAAGCGCGCTCTTCCAAGCGGGGAGCCTCTGTCCAAAGCCGGTGCCTCGCAAAAGCTGCCAAGACGGCAGTGCCATCCTGGCACAGCAAAAACAATTAAACTTGGGATGTTCCCCCAAATACGACCAGTCCTTAATGGTGACTATAGTACCCCCTTGATAGGGACTATAGTACCCCCTTAATGGGGATTACAGTACCCCCTTAATAGGGATAAGTACACCCTTATAGGGATTGTAGTACCCCCAATCATAATCCCGATTATGGACTGTTAGTATAAGGGGGAACGTCCCAAAGCTAAACTTTAAGCAGCGGCAATCTTGGTTTAGGATTTGGGTGTCCCAAATTCATCTAGGGCAAGCCAAAGGCATCTGGTTGCAGAAGGAAGTGCGATTCTTGAGCCATTTGCACCTCGATTAGGGGACAGCATCGTCTAAGTACCGAGGAACCTTCAAACAACCCCCTCCTCTGGCCATATTGGAATCAAGTGTATGAAGGCCCAGGCTCTACCCAAGGAATCTGGTGTCGGAGTCCCGCACTACGGACTGTTCAACACTAAACCCTAAACCCTAAACCCTAAACTCTAAACCCTAAACCCTAAACCCTAAACCCTGAACCCTCAGCCCTCAGCCCTCAACCCTCAACCCTCAACTTCAGCAAAAGCAATCTCCACACGGCGCGCGGCCTTTGCTCGAGTCACAACTCCGGGCTCCAGCAGCTGCAGCGCCACCTCGGAAGGAGAAGAGCCCCAAGCCCTGTACCCCTAAACCCTAAACCCTAAACTCCTTCTCATCTAGGACCCTGACATTTCGCACTTCCTGTGCCGCTGTGGGCGCACGAAGTTGTGCGACAAGGCGTCGGCCAAGGCCTGGAAAAGGCCAATGGCAAAGCCCAGCAAAGCTAAGAGAGCTGCTACCTTACATCCGGGGCATCTGGAGCACCTCTGAAGTTGATCGCAAGAACGTCTCAACCGCTCAGCCCTGCTTGAACACCCTTTAGGCATTCCTCACCGCCTCTCCCGTCCAGCAACACAGCCTAAACATGAAGCTGAAGACAAGGGCTCCAACCACATCTTGCTTAACCTTGGATGGCCTGACTGGCTTTGAGGTTGCTTCATCGGCGACCATCATGGCTTCCGGAAAGTAAGAAACTTCAGGCTATTCAGGGAAGTGTGGGATGTCTGGCATGGCACGCGGAAACACAGAGCCGGGCCACTTTGCACTTGCTATGCTCTTCAGGCCACTCCGTGCTCTGGCCATTTTTTTACTGCACACTTGGCCCATGCAAGCGGCACAACGCCATGATCCGCATGAGCGACATACGTGCGCTGTACACATGACTGCTTCCAGTGATTGCACGCTTTTGCCGCTCAGGTAAACGGCCAGGTAATGATGGGTGCGCTTCTCACGAACAAGCCTCCATACGACCTCAGAACAGGAACGATGTGCTCTGTCCGAGGTGGGCAAGCACCCGACATCGTGCTAAACATCATCTGCGGATGCTTGGTATGAACTCGAATTGGGGCCGCACCTACAATGACTGTATGCACATTCGGTTTCAATGATGCGATGGCCAAGCGGTCTGAGCATCGTGGCCAGACAGGGCGTGGCCCCCACAGGTAGCCTCGGCGCAAAAAGACGGCAGAGGTCGGGAAGAGAGGGATCAAAAGATTGAGCACAAACGTCTTGTAGGATCTTGTAGGCTTACTTCTGCCTCACGTGCGCTGACAGATGACGCGAACGACGCATATGGAACTGGGCTTCCGCAGCCACCTGTGCCAACCAAGCGGTTTACTCTTCAGCGCAGCTTTCCCCAGATCTTCCCATGCGAATGTTGCAGCCGAGCGGCAGACAAGACCTCCAGCCACGCAGCCGCCAAGGTGACAAGCAGCGTCAACCTCACCCAAACAACCGGACATTCTGGATTTGGGAAAGCCTTCCATGCGCCACCACCAAGAATAGGGGGAAGCACCGCGGCCCACATGCCAGACAGGGGCACAGAGGGAAAGAGAGAAAGAGAGAAAGGGAAGAAGAGTCCCCAAAGAACACCCCTGAAGAAACAGCGCCACAAGACCGGAGCCTCTGTCAGCAAAACCTTGCATTGGGGCGATGCTCTGGGACGTTGTGACAACCAAGGAAGGGAGAGGTAGGGAAGGAAGGAAGGAACGAAGGATGCAAAAGAGTCAGGGGCCCTCGACAAAGTCTGACGGCGCATACATGAGATGTGTTTCGACCAGCATGTGGCCCATGTAGCACGACTGTCCCCTTGTGCCCAGCTCTCTGTTCAAGGAAGAGTACTTTTTGTTCTTTGGGGGGTTCTTAAACAAATAGGAGTGATGCAGGCAGGGGCTTGAGTCAACTTAACCAAGTTTGGAACGCAAGTGCCCCGGGCATGACACGCATCACGCTAGGTCGGAATGTGTCAGGAAGCTGTGACTCCCGATGCCCCGCCGGAAAAACGTCAAGTAGACCGCGCCTCTGCTCTCGCAATCTCTTCCCCGAGTGCCAAGCGTCGCGAGTGAAGGCTCGGCTCAGAAGTGAAGCAAGTATGACAAGCCTTGGTTTGCTCCGCTATACGGACGGGGGTTCCGAAAATAGGGGTTTGGGATCCCCTATAAGGGGATTCTAGTCTATTTGGGCCCCTTTGTTGGGAAACACCCATATTGGGAAGCCTGTGCAAAAAGGGGGGAACGTTGTCCACCTTGCAGCCAAAACGCCAGAGATCAATGCAGGAGGCACCGCGCCTGTCAATTCAACCCCCACTTTGGAGGACTGCTTACTGCAAGTTCTGGGAACTTGATGTGGCTTGAGGAAGACCATTCTGTGCCCCACATTGTGATCAGTCGACACTCTCCATGCAGCCCCTAGGCCTGTAGGCAAGCAGTGCCAAGTTTACATTGTTGCCTCTATCTATTCTGCTTTGGCCCATGTGGTCGGGCAGTGTCAGGAACAGATTCCGAGACGAACTTTCATAGGTCTGAACTGCGCCACAACTTTGGACTTAATATAAACGACTACAAAAATAAGGCTGCTTTTTCGGCTTTAGGAACAAGTGATTGTTATCTGGAATTTCATTCAAACACCCTGAAAAATAAAGATATGCGCGTTCACTCTGAAACTTAAACTAAGGGGATCAAAGCAAAGAACATGAAATCAAAAACAGGATAAAGACCCTACAGGTGTTTGCAAATGATGCCTTCTGGGCACCCAGAAGATGATGAGATAGAGAATCAGCTTGAAAGCAGCGAAATACAAGTGCAATAGTATAACATGTAAATTTAAAATCCGCCGAGGCCTCGGGCCGGAGGTGTATAGGTTGTCAGAGCAAGCGGACGGTTCGCAGCCCCACCCCACCCCCACCCCCCCCCCCCCCCCCAACCCCCCCCCACCCCCCCACCCCCCCCACCCCCACCCCCCCCACCCCACCCCCCCCCCCACCCCCCCCACCCCACCCCCCCACCCCCCCCCACCCCCCCCCCCCCCCCCCCCCCCCCCCCACCCCCCCCCCCCCCACACCCCCCCCCCACCCCCCCACCCCCGCCACCCCCCCCCCCTACCCGCCTGCTAGTACAGAACATTGGTGAGCGGGTTTTTCGAGGCTCAACTGGTGTGAGCACGGCCGGGGGCGAGCCGAAGAGTCTAAGCTTGAACCGAAACCCTAAACCTAAACCCAAAAAAAAACCCTAAACCCCAAAGCGTGAACCTTGAGCCCTAAGCCCTCAATCCTAAACTAACCCTCAACCCTAAACCCCAAACCTTAAACCATAAACCCGGAACCCTGAACCCTAAACCCAACCCCTATTGCTTGGGGTCCAGCGACTTGGGCGCTGTGGAATCACCATGCTCACGCGGATGCGCTGGGCCGGGCCGAGGCGGGTCGCGTAGCGTTAAAATTACAAGATGTCTCAAAAATCATGAATTACATTACTGTTACGTCTAGTTTGGCCACTCGTTAGATCAGGAGCTTATTGCCGTGACCTTGTGACTTTTGTCAGACATGGTGAGTACCCTTTCACTACCTCGACCTTGCTCCAACTATCTTCCGATAGTAAATGCGACGAGGAATACTTGCTGTTTTGCCACCTGATCAGTGTAGATTGTACATACGGTTCTTCGTCGTACCGTGCCTACCTTACCGTACGTCAGGTGTCTTTCAGAAGCTTCTGACGTTTCTTTTGCCTTGCTTTCTCCAGTGCCACCCAGGCTTACTCTCATACTAACGTGTGTGACCAACTATGCTGCAGCTAACTTTCGACCAACTGGTCTAACCCTTTCTCTAGCACCTCCTGGCTGTTTCAACACTGACGGCCTTGAAAGGAAAATATCTCTAAAGACAGCATGAAACGACCGACATCAATACATGGGGACGAGCAGTGGCGAGCATGCAAAGAGTCCCATCCGATCCAGCATGAAAGCTCTTCACAAGCATCAAATTGCACACAAACTCCAGGCCCTCCTCCCAAAAAAACAGCCGTTTGCCCTAGGGACCGATCTGCTACATGAAATACTCGGGGCTCTGTACTTGCTCCATCACATTGCAGTGATTGCGAAGGCGGATGAACTTAATCTTCGGCGCGCCGCAGTACACAGAAAGCCAGAGAGGCACAAAGCACACACGGTCGTGCTTCTTGGAAGCATAGCTTCGACACGCTTTGCGCCGCACCTCATCCGAAAGACAAGCACCACCTAAGTTCCAAGACTGTATCTGTCTGTGCGATTTGTGTCATGTCAATGCCGCTGCAAGGCGTTGCAAGGCGTTGCCAAGTTCACCAAAGGCATCAACTCGTCTTTTGCTTCCGCTAGGCGAGGTCAGGCTATTAACTAAGCAAGCAAGCAGTTTCGCTTGTTTTCAACAGAGTGGCGAACATCTTGTCACTCGCCGCTCTTCCTCTTGCACGTCACAACTTTAAGCCGCTTCTGCTGAATCCGCCACACGCCCTGATGCAAGTCACCTGGAATCCTGGTCGAAGATGCAGCGGACATTGGGCGAATGGTTAAGAAAGAACCGGCGCCACTACTCACAAAGCCAGCTCTTCAAGAATCAGTTTCGATCTCTTGCTTTCTGGAATGTACTGAAGACTCACAATGGCAGCGCCTTGCACTTTACTCTCCGTACTGATTTGCATCAAAGGCTCTGCACGCCATTGACTCGCCTATGGAGGACATGAGAAAACACTTCTGCAACAGCCATCTGCATGACCCATCATCTCACATCAGCCAGATGCTGCCAACAACTGAAGATTCTGACTCCCTTAACTGAAGCCTTTTTCTGTTTTGGCCAGAGAGCCATTTGGCCAGTCCTGGCGCTATCGCAATGCCACCTTGTTGGCAGCGCCGGCGACGCACTCCTCAAGCACATGCTGCACACAAACACACACTCACACGTGGAGAGGCACCGTGCCCTAGATGTCAGGAGATGATGTAGCGCCACCGCATTACTTCAGCCGGAGCACGCAAAGCTGAGCCAGGCTTCGTCGGCCCTGACAGCGTCACAATTGGCTCAAGGCTGGCTGGGCAGATGTGCCATGACTTCGTGCTGATGCAGCATCTGTCTTGACATGTTCCCTTGTTATCCTTGTTTTGCCCCTTTCCTTGTCGTATACGACTGTTCGGTGCCTTTGGCCGGAGCGCCACCGCATTTCCCACAGGTCTGGAGGCCGGAGGGCCGATGGTGCAGCCAGACCTTGTGCCAGCTAAGGTGGTCACTTACGCAATCTTACGCACCCATACCCTTAGCAGCCTTAGCTGAGCCCGCAACATTCACCAAGAGAGCCAACCGTTCACCCCCCCCATGTTCCAGCTCTGCTGGAACGCCATGAAGCAAATCACCACCTCAGAGCCAGAGGTAGGCAGACGTTTTCACTCTCTGCCTCCGATGCATCCACTCTCCCCGTGCTGCCGAGAACCGAAAGCAACGTGAAGCCCTCGGGCAGGAAACGCAACGAAGGCCGCAGCACTCCCGGGACTCGCCACGAAAGCAAGAGTTCAATTTCTAGGCTTCGGCAGCACATGACATCTCTTTCTGTGCTTGCACCATGCTTGGTGCGACACTCTCACTTCCTTTCCCGGCCTGTGGGGTGGCGCTTCTGCCTCTGGCGCGCCATCCCGCTTGCGGCGCAGCGTAGGTGCGGAGAGGATCACCAGCGGAGCGCCTCGCGAAGACGCAGGCAAGATCTTGGGCAAAGGGCTGCCTGCACCAGAGAAGTGAAGTTCCCCAGTTCCCCAAAGGGCCTTGGTCTGTGAGATAGGTGGCTGTGGCAACCAGGGGATGGACACAAAGACCGTAGTCGTCCAGCAGCTCTTCATCCTCCAGCTCCGCCAACAGTCTGCATCCGAAGCAGCTTCGCTAATGTCCCAATGACTCTGTGCAACTTCTGGAATCTGCAAAGATGCCTTGTCGAAATGCCAGTTCATGCCGCGGCGTGCCTAGCACACAATCACCGACCCAGGATGCACAACGAAACTCCAACTAGGGCTTCCGAGGGACCTCACGGGCGATGGCTCTGGAAGACTTCAAACATCTTCAAACCGCAGACACTGGGGTCTCTGATGGTCTCTGATGGATTCTCTCCGCAGGCTTCCCTCGGGGCAGTCCAGGTGGGTTTCTCTGCAGATTCTCTGGAATGCTTCTGCGGGCTTTGTTGGGGGCTCACCTGGCATACTCCTCATTCTCTGCGGGCATTTCTCGGGACTCGCCGCTCTCTGCGGCAGGACGCGGGCTTCTTTGGAGGCGAAGAGGCGAGGAGCATGGTTGAGCAACAACCCCACATTGGGGGTGCGGAGAAATGTTTAGGAACCTTCTGCATCTCTTAGCTGCGCCTTCTTCACCTCCGCACCTCGCCGCTGCACCCAGAACCTGTGATCAGCATCGTGGTGTGACCACGTCACTAGCGGCACCCGCGAGTAGTAGCAAATGATAATTCTTGCGCACTTGCGCTGTGCTATGCCAGATCATGCCAGGCTGCTCTGCACCAGCGCCGCCTGCAACCCGAGAGTGATGAGAAACGTTTGTAGGATGAGGCTTTACTTTGGAGACTTTCGAGCACTCCGTGGCACCTGGCTTGTAATTGTAAGCAACTTCTTTGCGGCTCCGGGCTTAATTGGAAGTCGACTGGAATGCAGACTCGCCTCCGAGACGTTTTATGGCTTTGGTTGTGAAGCCCAAGCGCCCCGTGTGGAATCGGAACCTGCAGAATGGGGGGGGGGGGGGGGGGCGTTAGGGCTTGGTTTTTTTTGTGGGGGGGGGGGGGGGGGGGGGGGGGAGCTGACGCACAGCGCACACCCCAGGCACACCTTCAGAATGACTCGGAGTTCATGCTTTCAATCATCCAAAATCCAACCTCAAGCATGTGTGCCAAGGCGCACTTGCAGAGCAAACCGCTGCAGCACCGATGCAGGCTGTGCTGCAGCCGGAATCCAGTAGCTCTTCGGTGAGGCCCCTGGTCGGATCAGGTTCAGGGTGACACTACTCAGCTGCACTCTTCGATTTTGCCCAAAGTCGCCTCCATGTCTCGCGAGTCGGCGGGCAGCAGCTGCCAGGGCAGTCTGTCACAATGCCCGAACATGTCAGCACATGGAGGTTAACATGAGGGCCTTTGTGGGATGGCCCTCCTGCTTTGAGGCTCTCGAACAAACAGCCAACCCCCGCCAAAACAAAAAGGACATGAGCTGGTCTCTGCTCGATTCTGCAACTGCCGCCTCGAACTTGTGGCCGAAGGCCACAGCACCGGGAGGTCGCTGCCAGGCCTGGCATGGCAACAGTTCACGAGATTCCAGCCATTTTTTCCCGCCAGTTACGACGACGACCACTATTACTGCTACTGCTGCTGCTATTGCTACTACCTCCTGCTCCTACTGCTCCTACTGCTCCTACTGCTCCTACTGCTCCTACTGCTCCTACTGCTCCCTCCTACTGCTCCTACTGCTCCTACTGCTCCCTCCTACTGCTCCTACTGCTCCTACTGCTCCTACTGCTCCTACTGCCACTGCTCCTTCTTCGAGAGAAGGAATCACGGAACAGGCACCCCGGCAGTCTCAAGATTATCCCTGTACCTCCCAAGACAGTATCGCCTTGCTGCACGAGTTCCGTCAGATCGGGCGCGCCTCCATTGGCGGCATCGGCTTGCTGCGGCCGCGGCAGGCAATGCGTCGACGCAGGGACCAAACCTGCAAGCCGAGTGCAAAGTGCCAAGCATCTGGGAATCTCAACTTGGCTCTGCCATGGCCTTGCAGTCAACTTCTGAACTGTCGCTTTGTGAGTCCTTCGGGTCTCTGCGCATCTCTGCGGGTCGAGGGGTCGCAAGGGTCGGTTGGGACCAGGAGGACCCGAGCAAAGACACCACGGCTCTGCGGTTTCCTCCAGATCGTCGCTCATGGTACCCAGCTCCAGGTTGATGAGCTACAATCTGCTGCGACTGGATGACACGGTGCATGCACTGGCATGAAAGGTAGCAAGGGGGCATGGGCCGAGGTTTACATGAGGTGTTGTTGTATGCTGTTGCTGTGGAAAGAGGATTCCTGTGAGCCAAGATCCTGTCGAAATGCCGGTCACAGCCTGGCAGTGGTAGACGTGTCTGCGAGTCGACCATAGATCCACTATGGATCCTCAACTAAGCTTTACGTGGCCCTGGGCCCTACTCAACCGGCAAATCCAACTCAGACACCGACTGCGACCAGGCCAAGTGCAGCTGCAGAGCCGCCCGCGGAAGGGATGGAACCTGCCCAAAGTGGCCACTAAGTTAAATGGCCTTTACACGGTCTTGGTGTGAGGGCGGGATGCTCGTGAGACACAAGCACAGAGAGCCTCTCTGCCTCTGCTTCCAGGCAAGAGAGGCCAGTGAGCCACCCACAGCCTGAGCCCCAGTTGCTGCGCGCTCCTACGCCGGCCATGGGAGAGCCATGGCCCACTTGGCCAGCTTTCTCCTACCCCATCTTACCACATACTATCATACCACCACATCTTATCACATTACATCATATTACTATTACCACATCTTTTGCCGTTCTCAATATCGCAATCGGTGGTGGCGACAGCACCACTTATTTCCGGCCTCGGTTCGTCTGGTCTAGAGTCTGGCAGCAGCTCAGGCAGGGACGCTGGCAAGATACGCAAATAAAAACCGTCCTGCGCGCAAGCAAGCTACCGATTGCAATGTCGTCTCACACTGCAATTTGTAGAAGTCACACGGCAGCTGCTTCTTGGACCCTTCTCCTAGCAATTCTTAGAGCAGCTCTGCTTCAAGTAAGAAAGCAGCTCGGTTGCATAGACGCCTCCGTATCTGCATTACTACTGATGCCGACGGTCGGAACTGCAGGCTCCTGGACCCAGCAACTGCTCGGCGATGTGACCGTAGTACCTGACACCGAGTCGTCGTGTGTACCAAGCCAGGCACAGTAGCCTTTTCACTGAACTTGCATGCCGTCTCGGAAGCACCAGGCAGGGGGCACCAAACACAGTACATGTTCACGGCCAGGTGGTACCAGCCACTATGTATAAAGGCGCTGGTAACCTGGATCCGAGACAGCGGACTGACCAAAGATCTGGGGTCAAGGGGGAAATGCAGAATGAGACAAGACATGCGCTTTCGGACAAGTGAGGTGGTTGTTCATCTCAGCACAACTGCAGGATCGCTTTGCAACCTGCCATGCTCCTATCCAACATGGCTGGAGAGTTGACCAACTGATGGCTGAAAAAAGGCCCTTGTTGGCAAGAACCCAGATTAACATTGGCACACCGGTCCAAAGCTCCAGCTCAGCTTGCATCATTTTTTGGCAGCTGACGTTCCATGGATTATGTGGATAGATGCTGCAGTGTACGTCTACTCCGACTACTACTGCTGCTACGATGACGACTACTACTGTGACTACTACTCAGATGAACACAATACACATTGCAATCTCCAAACTCTGCCAGGTTGGAGTCTCTAGCCGTCCACGTGATGCGGACGTGCCAAAGTCCCCGCACAGGAACTGTTTTGCTGGCAAATGCCTGCAGACTCTGGAGGAGGCGAGGTATCATACCGCACGGTGTCCATCAAGTTCCATGAGTTATGTGCTTCCAAGCACCTCGAGTGAACTGGTGCCTCTAGGCACTCTCTGAGCAGACAGAAGCTCCGGTGCGTGACTGATAAGCTTTAAGCTCACACTGGCAAGAATTCAGCAAGGTCGAACTGTCCTGATTTGCTGAAGGCCGATCTAAGCGGTGTTTTCCTAAGTTTGGTCAAGCACCGTGGCTGGCAAAGGCATCACGCCTCTCAACGCCAGTAGTCATCCACTCCACCTGGCACGATGTCCCGTGCGAAGCTTTGAAGTTCTGATCAGCTGCACAGTTAGACATTCCCACAAAGACAAATAAAGATTGCGTAAGGCTAAAAGGTACAAAGCAGTGCTCCACAAGACGGTGGTGCCATCTGCATTTCACCAGCGCACTGCTTTCGATCCCTGCGGCACCTCAAACTGATGCACCAGGCCTGGCTGCAGGGTCACAGCATGTCACGGGATCATTGGCAGTGGCAGCAGTGGCACATGCGGCCTTGGCTTCTGGGACATCTTTGGTCCACAGATGGTCCCCACGTTTTCTGGTGACCCGGTCGAGTCGGCCTTTCAGTCTTTGTTTGTTACAGCGGTGGTGCTGGTGTGCGCGTCGTGGTAGGAGTAAAGACACGAGTGGGAGAAAATGCACTTTGCGGTTGCTCCCGCCTGTCACCACACCGGGGAACTGCCATCCATTGCTCCTGACCACACCAGCTTTCGACTCGACAGTCGAGTAAATGAACAATACACCCCTTGATATCTTTGATGGCCAAAACTGCAGTTGTTGCGGTTCTATAGCAACCCATAAGTCTACAGCTGGTATTCAAGGAGCCGCAGTCGCGTACATCAGTGGGTGCACCGACAGGTCTGGGAACACCGCTAAGCTGCCAGAGGGTGCACATCGCGGGGCACAGCAGCAATTGCCCCGAAAGCAACGCGCTCCAAGAAGTCTTCTGAGGGCCAGGGTCTTAACACATGTAAACCTCGCGCGCGAGGGTTTCGGACCAGCAACAGAGCCCTACCTGGCCCTACCTCCTGCCACCGTGGATTTCATGCCCATGAAGGATGGGTTTCGGGCTTTGGGATGCAGGGCTTGGGGTCTTGGGGCTCAGGGTTTTAGAACTCAAGCCCAAAGCAATTCTGTCCTGTGTACAGCACTCGGCGGCCCATGACGGGCTGCGGCACCTGCGGCACCTGTGGCGCCTGCGGCCTTCACATTGTTTGCTCACAAAAGAGAACGAGTGTGACGTCATCTTTGTGCGTGCGAAACAGCAACACTGCTCAGGCTCGTTTTCACTGTCTCAAGCTGATGCTGGGCTTCCCCGCGGTGGAACGAAGCGCAGCGCGGGGCCCTGACCCAGGAGACCTCCCCGCAGGATCCCATCTTCAGCTCTACTTCGCTTCGGGACACCACTTGTCATGAAGGCTACTGGGCGGCCCGAACCTTGCGGATGCACGGCTTGGTAGCCTTGGACGGCCTGCCAGTCAGAAGAATGCGCGGCACAAACTCCAAAACTGAAGGCACTGCAGATGGTACCCAGCAACATCTCTACAATTCCCGCGGCGTTCTTGCTTGCAGACTGATCTTGCTGTTGTGTACACTCAGATGACTCATGCTTGTCTCGAAATCGCCAGCCACATTTGGGCTTGATGCAACTACAGTGTGAGAAACTCTTTGCCTTTCGTAATCCGGCCCCAAGCCTCGGACCCACCCCCACCCCACCCCCACCCCCACTCCCACCTCACCCCGACGTTAAGACGCAAGATGATGCTCTCAAAAACCCCACGTATAACCCATAAACCCAACTCGAAAATCTGCCCTTACACACCCTTACACACCCCTATCACCTGCGTTGCTGGCCTTGGGGCTGTCGGCATAATTTGCAGAGCCCACGCGCCGTAAAGTCGGTGAAGCACACCTGGCTCTTCCAAGTCAAGACTCCCCCCACACACAAAACTACCAAAAGTGGCTCTGAATATCCTGAAAAAGTCTACGTGCCCCCCCCATTTGTTTTGCGAGGTTTGAAGTTCCCTCGATGAAGGGTTTGGGGCTTTCTGGCGACGTATTGAGCAGACCAACATGCCCGAAGAGCAAGCGCCGAGATAACTACACCCATTATGGAACCTGCGGATTAGACAGCCTTGCAATCCTAAACCTCCGCGAATATCGTCATCGCCCTCGGCTTGAAATTTCTGAGCCTGCCAGCCCATAGCTGCTGGCCAACGGGGAGTGCATTGACCTGCTGAATTGAGATGAACTGAGTGGAGATCACAACTCCCCAACAGGCCTTATTGCAGTGTAAACCTTCGACTGTGCCAAGCATGAAAGGCTCCAGCTGAAGCAACGTGATAGCTCTTGCACGCGACCAGTGATGAACCGTCGGCAGCCTTGGCAGCAAGAACAGAGAAGTTGACACGGCAACCGTTTCGGAACAAAACGTCACAAGCCTGGGCCAACCGACCTCCTCACAACGGCCGCATGGCGATGAACGCAGAGTTTCGAGACCAACGGCGCATGAGGCACATTCACTGAGTGCACTGGCGTGAGATGAGGCCTCCGAAGTAGCACCAGCCGAGGGCGTCGTGGTCGCCTCGCTCAGTCTGCATAGGAAAGCCAGGCACCCTTCAAGTAGATGCTGCACCCGAAAATGTTAGGGTTGCTCTAAATTCTAGGTTCTGGCACCCTTTTGGGGTCCCTCAAGTTATCCCTACTTTGGAATAACAGCTCATGTGATTGGTGTAACACTCATGCTTCCCTTTGAGATGCGCATGTGGAAAAAGCCCGCGGCCAGAGAAGACACTGTAGACGAAGATGCCAGAACCTTTGCTCCCGGGATGTGCAATTTATAACGTTCTTAGAACCCAGTGAGCCGCTAAGCCCAGCTGCCAACATGGTTGTCCTTGGGCCAGAATCGGCTAGAAGTACAGACTTTGAAACGGCTCAAAAGTTCGTTCCTTGAAGTGCGCCGAAGCCTGTAAGGCTTGCTCCGTGCCAGCACCGCGCGCGCCCACGAGCCCGAGATCTTGTAGTGTGGCGCTATGGAGCATCCGTGACCAAGGAATAATCGCTTCCACCCACAGAAGTAGTGAGCCCGAATGCGAAAAGCGCCTGCGCATCTCTTCGATGCCCGCCGCCTCATTTTGCCTCTGGGAGTAAGGGATTCCACACTTGAGATCTCTCACCTTCGCAACCACGCGCATGCGCAGCGGGGCCCTGGCAAACTACCTTGCTGCATGGGCTTCCCACAAGCCCAGCCCGTTCACAGAACATTACCGAACATCGCAGAACATCGTCGACCAGTAGCCGACTTTCCATCCGTCAGGCGCTGACACAACTGTCAACAACCTTTGCCAACTCTGTGCCGAATCTTCGATGCACAGCCTTGTTGCTCAATCGCTCGGCAAGCCGACAGCTCCCCAAACGAATCCTGATCCGTCCGGTCTGCTGGCTGGACTCGTATGCACACAGCATCACACAGCACACCCAACCGCACGACTGCCGTGATCCAGCAGGGGCTTTAGCAGCCGCATCTTCGGTGTGAAGCAAGTCGCGTTCACAGCACAAGCTGCATATGCCACGCAACAGTAATTAACGGCCAAGGCGGCCAAAGGCCGTGAAACACGCCTTGGTGCCTCTCAGCTCATAACCAGGACAGTCGGGCGAGCATGATAAGAGTGATGTTGCTTGAATGTGCACTACACTGCCGTACTTGCCACCGGGGAGCCTTCCCACGACCACCCATCACGTTGGCCTTTTCCAACTTACTCTGATGCTATTTGACTATACAGTTGCACCAGCAGTTTACACGGGACATCACATGAACCTTCCCAATGCTGCCCGCCTCGGGAGCCCAAGCCAAGACAGGTCCCTGGAACACAAGCGCGCTTTGCCACTGCGCATTGCACTGTCGCACGTACAGCTTTGTTCTGCTCGCTACAGCCATGAAGTTAGTGTTTTGACTGTCTTACAGGCATGTCGAACAAGACCTCTTCGACAGCGTACACAACCAAACGCTGCGCAATGCAAGCGGGTAAAGCCAGCAACACAGCAACAACTGTTGCGGTCCTTCATTGGTGGCTTGGCTGCCGCCGTCGACGTTGGAATCTCCCTGCGAAAATGCATGACTGCGCACACATGTGTGCACAAGCATGCATGCTCACAATGAACGGCAGCGATTGGTAATGCACGAGCTCCCAATTACCTTTGACAGCTTGTCGTCGCCTCGGCGAGGACACCTTCTTGTGAGGCCTCAAGAATGGGTGTAGGGAAGAGCAGGAACCGGCGGCCCAGGACTACGGAGACATGTGACAGAAACCAGCCTCGGACTTGACATGAATGAACCATGCTGTATAACCGACCGCTGCAGCGTTTACTGCTCGAGAATCCCCAACATGAAAAATGCAATGCTCACTTTGCGGGACACAAGGTCCTACACCCAGCCCGTGGCACTCTGACATATCATAAAAGCTTTCCGAGTACCTAGCGGCGCCACGGGAAGATCGGAGAGGCACAGTCGCCAGTCCTGCCGTTGCAATGATTTCTTCACAGAGGCCAAGCCCTCCCACCTAAAGAGCAGCGTGCCAGAAGCTTCTGCAGAAGCTCCTCCCCCTTCTCCACTTCCTGAAACTCGCCGCTCTCCAGCTGAATGCGCCAACCCTTGCCGTCGGCCTTAGTTGTCAGTCCAGGGCTTTCCACTTCACTGGAAGCTGTGGGTTGGTCATGCTGAGTCATACTGAGTCATACTAGGTCATACTGGGTCATACTGAGTCACACTGAGTCATGCTGGGTCATCACACTGAGTTATACTAGGTCATCATACTGAGTCACACGGAGTCATACTGTCATACAGTCATACTCCAGGCCCGGACCAGCTTGCCACAGACAATGGCCTTCAGAACGCCAGCTTGTGATCTTGGACAATACCTTGCAGCTGGAGTTTAGGGCGAAGTTTAAGGCAAGCATAGGGCACGCAGGATTTCGGAGTTTTCGGGCGCACAAGACCGTCTCGCCGGGCTGAAAGTTCGCTGGGGGACCTTGGCTTCGAGGAAAGGAGGGGTCTACCGCTTTTTGCAGGACCCTTGTGCTAGCAAACGGCTGGGGTTCTGACTTTCGAATTGTGTAGACTTTCCGCCGAAGCTGTGCCGGGAAGGACGCTCATTGGCCTGCACTGCCCTGGGCACGGCGGGCATGTTGACACATGTTGACAGGCTGTGTCTGGGAGGCGACGGCCCGACAAAACACAAATCTAGCGAATCTACAACCCTACACATCACTACACCTTCTTCACGAATCGTTCTGAGGCCCTCACGCTTGCGCCAAAATCGGGCTGGCCTCGGTATGGCCAGGGAACCCGTCACAAGAACAATGCGTTGTCACTTCCGTTTGTGTCTAAACTGCAGACGGACAGATTTCTAGGGAGACTACAGCTCTCAACACGAGGCAACACGATGGCCCATCGGAGTGACTATAGAACTGGCCTCTGATATCCCCCACACGTCCCCCCACTGAATTCAATTCAAGGCGCCACCTTGGCCAGCCGCACAGGCGAGGAATTGTTCTGCAAGCGTCCCCGGAAGCCCAAGGGGCTCCTGCGTTCACGGGCGTTTAAAGCTTTAGGGTGTTGGAGATCGGTGTTTGTAGGACTTTTTAGACGGATGCCCATGGTTTCCACGCACATCTCTCTTTCTACTCTTGGCTGAGGGCCGGGCTTCTCGTTGCGAGCTTGCGAGGCCCTGCGGCAGTCGCTCGAACATGCACGCCTCCTCCCTTGCAACAGCTGCTCCCCTACTCTTTAAGGCGCGGCTGCTCGAGGGCCTCAGCTTGTTCAAGGCTTTCCGATCCTGAGCTGACGATCCACCATGATCCCCAAACCCTTTAAACCTCAACCGACCATGAGTGGCAAAGAAAAGCACACCGAGAGCCTGACGGCCCGCTCTGCGGCATGAGAGGTTGGCTGTCCTGCAATGGGCAGCGCAGCACAGAAAAACAGGTCTGAAAAGTCCTTCTCAAAGAGCTGTAGCATTGAACACCTCACGAATTTTCGGGGATGCAGGATCCTGAATCGTTGTGCGTTGAAGGCCGAAGAAGACTGATGACTTCCACCTGAGCCATCCAAGTGTGTAAGTCTTCGCCACCCATGACTTCCCCACATTCCCCGATGTTTCCTCACCTCACCTTCTGCAAAGATGCCCGCGCAAAGCACAGCCATGTGCCCCATCTGAATGTCAGCTATTAGTGGCCAATGGTCCCTGCATGTAGGCACTAGACATGTCCAAACCCTAGAAAGGAGGATTCCTTGTCAGCCTCCTGGGGCAAGTTCCAATAAGACATCCCTTAAGGCTTCTTGGCTGCTCCAAAACGTGCCTTCGTACTCGACAATTCCTGGGCGCAATTTTGAGGTCGGCGCCATGGCAGGCCGTCTGGAAGCGCTGAGGTCCAACAACTGCCCAGTCCAGCGAGTGAAATATGAAGCCCCCCACCCTTCACCAACTTACGTTCCCCTCCCTTTCCCTTCCCCACAACACCAGAGCGGAATCCCAAGTACCACTTACACTCAGGCCCTTACACTCCTTTTGGGGCCTTTGGCATCGTTTCAATTTGATGCAATCGCAGCCTGCGAGGCGAGCTGGGCGAGCGCAGGCGCTGCCTGAACTCGAAGTAGCACACTCTGAGGGCTCTGAGGTGTGAGTGCAGAACGCCAGTTGGGCGGAACACCTCAAGATCTAAACCCACAAATGAGGGAAGCCAAAGGGTAGATTTGACACGTCATGTTCCTCAGGGCCCCTGCACAAGCAGCCGTTTCTTGAACTGCAGCTGTCAGGGTGGGCCGCTGGACATGGAGGGGCCTGGACAAGTATGTACAAGGTTTGCTAGATTGCTAGAAGTTGACAGCGCCGGGCATGTCAGCAAGGAATGTGATCAGCAACCATGAGACATTTGTTGGGCAGCTGCTTGCTTGGGCAAGCGCACTGCGTAGTCAGGTGGGCTTCGCATGCTTTGCTCTGGGACATTCTGGGACCCTCGCACGTCAGACCGGCCCAGGCGGTCGACAACGAAGCGACCTGCAATGATCAAGGCTTTGACCATCTACCGCCACCTGTACCATATGCCCTTTGAGGTGATATGATCGCGTGAATACCGGCAGATGCCCTGCAATCGCCATCCCACGGCGCCTTCCCTTCATGGCTCTCATCTCCGAATCATGGCATTACATGGCATTAGAGGCAGCGGCCTGTGACAATCTCCGTAAGGAGGAGGCCAAGCCCCTGCAGCATCTTCACAACAAGGGATCAAACGATTTGAGGTGTCAGGCATCGTTGAATGACAGAGGATCCCCAAGTGTGAAACCTTGTAGCTCTCAGGGCAGGGCCCAAGCATCGTCGCCTGTTTGCTGCGGCATACCTGGACAAAACCCCTGGCTTGTGGGCCAACCCTCTGAAGGAGCCGCGTCAAGGAACACGTGTACCAGGACGCCCATAGCAGGCCGGAAAGACCGATCGGGCCAGTACGCTCACATGTTGCATCATGTTGTCAGGATTCCGTTGGCGATATCTTCTTGGCAGCGCGGCTTCTTCACTCCATACGTTCGCGTCTCGTTCAGAATGTTCAGGAATCGAGCGGGCTGAGTGTTATTAAATTTCCCTGACACGGCAGGACGCACAGTCTTGAAAATGGCCTGAAGCAGCCTCCGGCGACATGTAGGGGGTGTTCAGCTTCGAGTTCGCTGCTGGCCTCGCCGTGCCCAAAAGGCCCCTTCCCAGAAGCTACGAGTCGCATGCTGAGTATGCTGGCACAGCAGCAAGTACGATTTAGCGAGAACAGACAAGCTTTTGCAGCTTGCAGGGCATGGCTGAACACCCCGGTCTCTTCTGCGACATGATGGCCTGCCGCTCAGGTACTCGGCACGCCCGAAGTTGATCAGCACCTGTCGAAGCATGGACACTCAAAAGTCTTCTCACGGCCTGTTTACAGTGAAAGCCTGCGAGAGAAGAGAGAAACCTTACCTTGCGTATCTAGCCAGGGCACAATTTTCTCACGATCTCCGATAAGAACATTTTCGCACCACACCTTTGCAGGGTTGACAGTCACCCATGCTGCAGGCATGATGAGCACAGATCACAAGAGAATCTTCAGTTCTGCAACTCTGTGAATGCTCACCAGGTGCCGCTCAGACAAAGCCACTCACATGACAAGGAAAATGTCTGCAAAATGCCCTGACACCAGGGGTGCAGCATCTCTGTGAATGATGTTTGCTCGGTGCAGCCTGAGCAGTGCTCACCCAATCAGAGGATACGAATGTTCAGCGAGATTGATGCATTGCCGTGCTGAGTTCATTACTTGCAAAGCGCGGACGCAAGCTGCGCCACTATCTGCGCCTAGCGGACAGTGATGTCAGCATTCCGCAGAGGGTGCCATTTTGCCAAGCGGCTGCTCGGTGAGGCATCGCCCCTTGTCGCCGCACTGCCATTGAAAGCGGCTCGGATTTCTGCACAAACCTGAGAACAACAAACATCCACAAACACATCCGGCGAAATCGCTCCGAAACCGACTCAGCATCTTCTCTAGACGTCCTACGACTACGAGCTCCAGCTCAGTGCGAGGCCCTGCCCAGCTCGAAAGATGATTACGTCTGATGCACACTCTTTCTGAGTCCCACGCTCCATGATCAAACAAAGATGCGGAGGTGTTGCGTCCAGCTGCGGCAGCGTCTCCCAGTTGGCCACCACCTACAAAAACACGCGGAACCTACTTTTACTGATTTTTTGGGATGGCACTTGGGAGGTTCCCCCTTCTACGAACACTCCTGAATAGGGATTATAGTCCCCCCGATTATGACCCCTATTAAGGACTGTTAGTACAAGGGGGAACATCCCAAGATGGCACTCTGGCTGACAGTTTGCAGTTCTCTGTGGCATCGCTTGGGGCAGGGCATCGATGAGGCGAGGAAGGTTTGGATGCTGCACTTCTTTCATGACCTGAGAGAGAGGCTACACACACTCGCCATGATTTCTCACAGGAAGGAGCGGCAGCTTGGAGAAACACAAGAGTCACAAGAGAGGATTCACCGAGACAACTAACATTGAGGTTCCTAGATGCTTCTGCTGCAACGGAGTGTGCATTCTCGAGCCTGCACCTCCCGCCAGAGTCTGCTCTCCTCTATTCCAGCAGCTTGCGCCTGACACAGAAAGAAACCACCGAACTCAGTTCTAAACGCCGTGGTACGCTCCGTGGCCCTACCTTTTTCAGGGAAATGACTTTCACAGCCACGTGGTCGCCGGTGCGATCCTGAATGCATCAGCACCTTGTGCCCACCCTCTTGAGATCTCTTCAGGCAGTGCTCAGAGGGCTTTCATCCGCACAGCGCGCTTGTGTGTGTGCACTGGCATCGGCAGAGTCGGAGTCCTTGCAGAGCAGCACCGCGCCGAGGGCCCCGTCCTGACTAAGCGGAGCCTCCACAGAGACGTGCGCCTGGCGCAACGCAGCACCACCGACCAGGCGTGTGCTAGTTGTAGGCATGTACTTGTGCAACTTGTACCATCCTGTGCAATCTTGTGGAGAATATGTCAATGAAGTGACCTGCAGCTGGCTCAGGTGTCTCAGCCGCGTCTCCAGGGATTTCGTCCGCTCGAGCCTGATGTGGGGCGTGCTGCGAGGTGCCGAAATTTTCATGCGATTTGAAGGGTTTCGTTTCCAGGTTGGGAGGGCTACCTGGGGACCTCACTCCAGGGATCGAGACCTTTAGATGTGTAGCTGCTGTGTTTTGCTTAGTCTTGCGCTTGATGCAGTTGTTCCGCACTTGTTCTGGCTCTGGCGTGCTGCTTCTTCTGCTTCTGCTTCTTCCACTAATGACTTTCTTCAGCTACACGGAGCACGTCGGGGCACCGCAGACAGCACTGACAGCACACCACTGTCGCCTGGCTGCCCGGGAGGGTGGAGCTGCAAACGCCATCCGGCCGCCCCAGAGGAGCTCTCAGGAGCAACCGATTCCAAGTTGGCTTGTCCACAAGGCTGACGATGGGCTGAACTGAAAAGATGGTGCGACGTGACGTTCTGGGAAGTTCTAGGGCTACTTCAGGGGCGTCAGGCACCAGTACCTACTCGGCGCCGATTCCTAAAACAATGGGTCCTGAGAAAAGGCCGCGCCGCATTGAACAGCATGAGCGCATGCAACTTCATGAATTGGTTTAAGCCCTCCTCGCAGTCTTGCCCCAATGCGTATAGAATGCGCAGAGCGACACGATGCCGAGACACTGAGACTCTGAGACGTTCCGGGAACTGTACCAAGCGATGACTTGACGCACGCGCCCGCAGGGTGTTTTCCGTGAGGATGCCGAAGTCCTCCCAGTCCCAGGCCATGTTCCGATGACAATGAATTCGGGCACTGGGTGGCAGTCAAAACGTTACCGGAATTGTGGGGGTTGCATCGGGCTTTCGATCATTTCAGACCAGTAGGGAGCTTTCGGTGCTTGACGTTGGCGGGTTGCTCGATCTTCTGCAAACTGTGGGGTGTTGGGCAGCCGACTGCTGACCAGTGCATACATGAGCTCCTGCGAAGGCCAGTTACAACCAGACTTGACTTGTACATTTCCTTACATTGCTGTTGATATTGGAAGCTGCAGCGATGCTAAACACACCAGCAGGACCGTCTCCTCCCACTCGGGCACATAGCATTGCACCAGAAATGACAGTATACTCCTCGGCAAGACAGCGATGTCCAGTCGCCAGCAGAGACGTGGCACTCAATCTGACAGTTGTTTGCCAAGTTGCAATGAAATCAGGGACTGGGTCCAGTTGTGGAACACCTGACGTCAGATGGCGGATGCAGGTAGATCCAACAAACCGAAGCATGTCGCTTAAGGCAAATCATTCAGCATGAAACGCCGTCTCAAACCCAGCATTCCGCATCTATGATACACTGATTTCCTGATCTTCGTCGTTCTAGATTCGGGCGGGCAATCATTGGCAATAAGCCGCCCATTGTGTCTGATTTTACTTGCTCGGACATGACACAATCTCGGCCGGCGCTGGCCTTTGACAGCATGAGTCAGCATGGGGGAGGGATTCAGGTTGTAAATGGTAGTACATTCACCACAGGCTACAAGTACAAGCGCCATCTCAAACAGAGACGTCGAAGATTCTTGGCGGCATGAACTTGTTAAGCAGAAACAGCAAGAAGAAACCAAGGAAATGTACGGAAAACCATCCCCGATGAGATGGAAACCAGACGCGGGCGTAGCGGCGTTACGGAAACCAGCGAAACCCATAACGGAAACTCCCTGAAGCCCAAGCCCTGCTGTCACGAACCCAAACCCTGAACCTTGAACCCTTGTACCCTGAAGCCTAAAGCCGAAAGCTGTTGGCTTCCGCCACACCCCGCAGGCTTGAGCGGCTTGAACATGGTTATTGCTTCTCTAAGACCCTCAAGGCGGGAGCCGTGCAGACAGCACTTGGAGCCTTCTGGAACCAAGATACTGACTGGGCGTGCGTACGGCATGAAACCCGTTAGCACCCCACAACAGGCGCAACTGCCAGACCTGCCATGCTGCTGACAAAGCCAGGGCCAGAAGTGGGAAGGAGAGCCAGCTCCTTGGAATTGCGAAGCCCTGTCCCATCTAAGACATTCTGGATTGGCGGGTGGCAAGCTGTAGGACGGTCCAGTACAAAAAGCAACACGAATGCCAATGACATACACCGATGCTTGACGACCTCCGAACTATGATGGTATGTCGGGTTCATGGAGGTGGCCACAGGTCATGCTTGAGCTGGTGCTTGCACTGGTTCAAGTGGGATTGAGGCTCATTTCGGACACCGGGGGCCAGACTGCTCAGGTCGAGGATTGTACCGTCGCAAAGTGTACCTGGCAGGCAAAGAGAGCGCAGCTGACAAGGTGAAAAGCTCTTGAAGCTTCCGTTCATTCGCTCCCGATTTGTTCCTAAACAGCCGTGAGCTCACAAAGAACTGCTGTAAGCTCCACGCTCGCGCGCATAGATACCTGCAACAAGAGGTGGCCTCACCCCATTAAGCCATTACATCCCCCTACCCCATCACCACCTCCTTGTACCCCTTGGCACTCTTAGGGCTCTCCAATCTTCCACGGTAAAAAAACAAAAAATGCTCTTTGCGCCAGGGAACCTCCAAAGGGTTCGTAGCTGCGACGGCTAAGGGCTCCTGGCATGGCTGTCTTGAGCATGGCGCAAGCAATGCCTCCAGTTCTCTGACTTCGAATGGGTACAGCAACCTCTAAACCCTAAACCCTAAACCCTAAACCCTAAACCCTAAACCCTAAACCCTAAACCCTAAACCCTAAACCCTAAACCCTAAACCCTAAACCCTAAACCCTAAACCCTAAACCCTAAACCCTAAACCCTAGTTTCGGGAAACCCCTCATCTGGCTTGGGCATCGCCAATCGCCACCCTGCCTCGAGCACGCCAGGCAAAGGCGAGCATGACAGCTTGCGAAGCGACTTTGGCCTGCACAAGGTTTAGGGTTTAGGGTTTAGGATTAAGGGTTCAGGTTTAGGGTTTAGGATTTAGGGTTTAGGGTTTAGGGTTTAGGGTTTAGGGTTTAGGGTGTAGGGTTTAGGTTTGGGGTTTAGGGTTTAGGGTTGATGGTTTAGGGTCTGGGGTTGGGATGACTAACAGTCCTTAATATGGATTATAATCGGGTGTTAGTATAACGGTTCCTTGAGGCTGTCAACTTCCTCATGCGAACTGAAAGAATTTCTTCGCTTCTCAGCATGACAGAATCCCTCCCGTTTACGTAAGAAGCCGCAGCGGTGGGGCTAGCAAGCACTGTTGAAGCTAGACGTCCTGGATTCAAAGGGGGGTATTCACAGTCGGTTCTGCATGAGTCTATCGGTTCCAACTAATCTTAGATGCCATATGTTATCCACACCCTGCCACCCCCAGCCTAAACCCTGACCCTTCCCTTAACCCATCACGAACCACAGGGCCGAGCGGGGCCCCCTCAAACCCCCCTAAGGCCAAAGTCCCAAACCTGAACTCGAAACCAACCGCGAACCCACAAGGGGAGGGCAAACCCTGTTCAGTTCCGCGCAAACCCTTTACCCCTAACCTGACTGGCTGTGACTAGCTTGGGGTGACAAGCTCAGGGAGTGGCCCCAAGCCATCAAGCCCTCCGCCCCAAACAAACCCTGAAAACCCTAGCCCAGACTAAGCCTCAAAACCCTAAACGGGTTTTAGGGGGTAGGGCTTAGGCTTGTCAGGCACAATGGGGGGGGAGTGGAGGATCGGTGGCGGAGACGCCAGACGGCTGACCCTTTCTAGCCCACCCCCAACCCCCCCTTTCCCGGGGCCATCGTTTTGGTGCTTTTTGATGGGGTTTGGGGGGCCTGGGGGAGGATCCTTTCAAGTCCAGGACTTGGCGCCTGAGGTCTAAGGTCTCACGGCAATGCCGGGGCGGATCCAAGATTCAATCTTGCATATCGGATTCAGCCAAAATAATTGACATTCCAATACTGAGATGCAACATTCCATGGCTGACCCAAGATTCAACATTCAAGACACCCCGGAACCTTGAATCTTGAGTCTTGCATCCATCCACATGTTGAAGCTTCGTATGTTAGTATTGGAGTTCAACGTTGTTTGTGCGCAAAGACCCAGCGTAAGTACTGTCCTTTCTGTGTTGGAAAGATGTTCTTTGCACAGCAATCGGAAAGGTGCCTGGAGAGTCGTTTGAGGGGACCGGGCAGTGCTACTTAACTGTACATCTTTGCAGGGAGTTTGAGAAGGGCACGAAGAATGATGCCTGGCTGCACCACTTGGTATTTCAGGTGCGATTGTGAGGGTGTTTAGCAGGAACGGATGGTGACACCCAGCTGGTGATACTTAGCTGCACGATTTTGGGTACTAGGTCTTCCGCAGCTATTCGGTTTCAGGTCTGCTGTGATGTTTTCTCTTGGAGGACAGTAGAAATTCAGGTGCATAGATATTATATATATATACATATATATATATACGTGCGCACTGAGCGCCAGCAGGCATGGAGCCTCGCACTTGCCGTCCAAGGGAGACGTCGGCGCATCCTGCTCAAGCTGCTCAAGCTCAGGATTGCCTCTACCACACAAGAAGCCTGTGCTGCCCTAAACCCTAAACCCTAAACCCTAAGCCCTAAACCCTAAACCCTAAACCCACCAAACAGCCAAACAGCCAAACAACCAAACAACAAACAACCAAACAACCAAACAACCAAACAACCAAACAAACAAACAAACAACCAAACAACCAATTAAGCAAACAACCGAACAACCGAACAACCAAACAACCAAACAACCAAACAGCCAAACAACCAAACAACCAAACAACCAAACAACCAAACAACCAAACAACAAAACAAAACAAGCAAGCGAACAGGCAACAAACGACAGTGGCTGGATCCAGGCGCGGTCCCGGGCGACTCTACAGCCGTTGGTCAGTGGCAGCGATGCCTGGTCGGTGGACAATCTAGGTTTCGGGTTTAGGGTTTAGGGTTTCGGGTTTATGCAAGCGGTCTTAGGGTTAGAGTGCTCTGAGCAGACTACCTGAGGCCTTCGCGCGGCGAATTGTCGAGGGAGGCAGCACCCTCTCACTGGGGACTTCAAAGAAAGCGAGACGATCAGGCTATCAGGCTTTGGGACTCCTAGGACGCTCGTCCGCACCACCCTGCTCTTCTCTTGGCCTCCTCGAGGAAGCTGCGACGAGAAGTTGAGGGTCCATGGCTTCAGACAATCACCAGGACCCGGTGGGCAGTATTTAAGGGGGGGGGAGGGGCGCTTCGGGGGCGGTGTACAGCTTCAAAGCGTACTTGTGCGTCGGCCGTTGAATGTGTTCTTTGGACAGGTGCTATCTTCCGTGGTCGTGTAGATTTCCACAGTTTAGGGTTTAGGGTTTAGGGTTTAGGGGTTAGGGGTTTAGGGTTTAGGGTGCAGTTGGTCCATGTCATGGTGTGGAAATCCCACTTCAGATTCGGCGGACTCTCGCACATGGACGGGGATCAGAACTCCAAACGAAACAACACGAAACAGCCATCTGGCTTGAATAGCAATCTGCTTGTTGCCCTCTTCTGGAGCTTCGTGGTGCTTGGTGCCACGCAATAAAGTTCGAATTGTGAATTATGAAGGTCCTGCTCTTCGTTCACCGAATGGCTTCCACATGCTTCAGGCCTGTCAGGTGGTTTACGGCTGCTGGTGTCCCTCTGAAGTTGCACGTGTTTTCTGCGACACATGCGCACCTTCTGTGAACATGCCCACGTGCATACGAAAGGTTTCTGCAGTTTCCTACCGTTTCCTGTGCTACGGGGGTTGATGGCTAAGACATGCTAAGACCGACCACTGCGGAGAAAAGAGCGTTCGAGCATCCGGGCCTTTCGCCCTTCGCCTTCCCCAACAGGCAAATTCAGGTCCTCCGGGCCAAACCAACGTGAACAAGTTGGCCGCCAGTCTCGGGGTCGAGAGTCCCCACATTGCGCCCACAAGGCACCTTCCAGTTTCCAAGGGAGCTGGGGACTCGGAGACTCAACATGAGTCAATGGGTCACGTCGTGGTACCAAGCTAGCAAAGCTACGTGTGTGGGCCAAGATCTGGTCGGACTCTTGCATATTGGTGCATACTGCTGCATACTGCTGCATACTGCTGCATATTGCTGCCCGGTCACATGCCGTATGTGTCAAGCGGTGGCACGTCAGCGCACTCTCGCCGCAGGGAAGCCATTCGATGAGACCACGCTGCGAGTCCACTTGTGGGACAACGTCGTTCGTCGGCTGGACCACCGTGAAAGCCCTTGTGAGCTGGACGAGGTCTAGGTCCCACTGGAACTTCTGAAAAAGGAGGCCCGGGGGTGAGAAGCCCACTCCCGGTACCCCCACCTGGGTGGATACGGCTCCGACCAAGGCACCGCCCAGACTGTGGCCTGTCATCACGAGAACCTGACCGGCTTTCTTGGCCTCCTCCTTGTGCTTTCGCGCTGCATCAGCAAGCCTGGCCTCGACCCTAAACCGTTGCCTGAAGCTCTTGGTGATGCCGCCGCCAGCCACCCGCTGAATCACGGTTTGCGGCATGAGGCTGAGAACCGGTGTCAAGATGCCCATCAGCTGCAGCACCACAATGGCAGAATAGATCTGCAAGTTTGCATAGGCATCTCGCAGATTTGTTGTCCCACGCACGGAGATGATACGAACGTTACGGGATGGAATCGCCACCACAATCCATCTTCCAGTCGTGTTCCAGTTCTCGACCTCGAGCAGCTCCCAGTCAGGAAACGTGCCATTCAGCATCTTGCCCAAACCTTCGCGGACATCTGCTTCTCCTCCGAAGGAGCTTGCAAATGCCATGATGGAGAGATCCAGGATGGAAAGGCCCCAGTTCTTGAGGCCGCCTTCTTCTCCCCAGCTTGTCCGGCAGATGGGAGAGGCTGGGTGGGGCGAAAGGGGTGAAGCCTCGAAGTGCAAGGGCAACCTGCTCTCCAGAGAGGTGTTGAAGTTCATTGAGGCAGGTCCCAGTACCATCGGATCCAGTTCACTTGGGTTTGGCTCGGCCGACTGCATGGTTCCCATGAGAAGGCTTGCCGCAAGCAGTATGAAGAATATTAGGGTGCACCAGAATGCTTTTCCCAGCAGGCGAGGGGCGTAGCTGCGAAGAGCAAAGGCCCAAAGCAGTGTGGCAAGGAGCTCGCCGATGCAAATGGCATAAAGCCTGTGGAAAAAAAGGAACACGAGTATGACCCCAATCTCGATGCACAGGCCCAGGAGGCCAAAGCAGCACGCGCGACCCCAGTGATTGGGCTTGTCGATCAGCTCATGAGCACCACTTCCCTCGGCGCGTCTGAAGCGGCCGAGTGGGCCCATGTTGTGATAAAGCTCGGCCATGAGCTCGTCCCGGGCAGGGATGTGTCCCACGTGGGCGTGGCAAGCGATGTAAGTGATGCAAATGCACAAAGCACAGATCAGGCCCCCAAGGCAGTATCCACGTCCGACCTCCTTGTACCAGTAAACCTGAGGCTCAAAGAGAAGATGACACAGGCTGCAGTTTGCTGAAGCATACATGGAGGGAAGCACGCTGCCAAGCTGTAGTGCCACGGCTTTTGAGCTGCATCCAACATGGTTTTCAATTCCTGCCTTGCTTGGGCTCATCACAAGAGAAATGATGGCAAAGATGATCGGCACTGTCTCCACGAACAGCACCTAGCGGGGTGCCCACACACTGCCCACTAGCCCTGGCCTGGGACATCCACTTGTTTCGGTTCCCCAGTTCCCAAGCACTGCGCAAGCGCTGCGCAAGCGCTGCACAAGCGCGGCACAAGCGCTGCAGCCAGTTTTTGGGCACCACCCGTCGCCAACCCCTGCAGAAGTCGACAAGGGCCCGGTCACTATCAGACCTACGTGTCGAAGAAAATCATGGACAACAGAGCGACCGAGCGCCCAAAGGGGTGAGCATCATGAGCGTCAATGCTTCAGGTCTGGACAGAAGGAGCCGGCCGCCTGAAACGAAATGTCGTGTTTGTTCTTGGTCTGTCTTGGTTCCACAAGGTGTGATGTTCACAGTTACTGGGGAGACGCGTGGGGATGAGAGTCATCACCCCTCCGTAGTTGGAGGAGACATGTTGCTGCTGTTTGCTGTTTTTCGGCCTGGGTTCACCGCAAATGAACCCGCCATCTAGGTGGCCTCCAAGAGGAGTGGAGGGTGGCGATCTTCCAAACCAGGAGTGTTGCTTGCGTGGTTTACGCATGCTGAAACATGGTACATTTGGTTGGGGCCCCGTCAAATAAACCAGGCAGCCTGCTGCCTGAAACTGGTCCTTCTCCCTGCTTTTTCTGTCAAGTCGCCGGCGGCAAGTGGTTCATGCGTCAATGCCCAGCTCTCTGCCAAGGCACAAGGGCCCGCTCGACATGGTCTGTCTGAACCTGTCATCCAAGTCTGTCGCGCAAGAAGGGGCAGACTCACAAACAGGGCGCTGCTCTAAACTCGGTCCCCGGCACCCTTATACAGTCTCCCTTCTCCCTTACAAACAACAAAGGTTCCTAAACGAACTGGGTTCTGAGCAAGCGAACAACCTCCTACATCTGACAGGTTCCCGAATTCCCAACCGGGTCCCGGCCTTTCCGAAGCAACGAGTTGCGGCAGTGACCTTTGGAACAGAAAGAAAGAAAGCGGGTTCGCAGAAACCCGCGGAATCCTAGCTGAACTAAGATTACGCCCTTAACTGCATCCACCCTTCTTTTATGAAGCAATTGCTGGGCAGCTGGATAAACTATTTTGAAGTCTTCGCTTGCTGGATAAACTAGTTGGAACTCTTCACTGCCTATCACACCCTGTATCTTTTGCTCAGTCTCAGAAATACTCAGCCCCACATTCAGCTTGTAGATCAGAGCCTAGAGGGCTGAACGTCGGGCACGTACAGGGAGGTTCGGTTTGTGAGTGAAGCGCCCCGCCGACGCTTTAAGATCTTTTGCGATGAAGAAACTGCCCTGTTCGGGAACAGGGACCGACTAACCCAGCCTGTTCTTGAAATGAGATACAGGACTCACTCAGGCATTGCATCGACAGTCAGATTGGCTTTCTTCGACTACGAACTCAAACCTGATCCTCTTCGCTTTCTTCAGTTCTCAACCAATCTCCTCAGGGATTGGAGTTGGAGGGCATTTGACAAGACGTGCTTCCGACTCCAGCAACTGCAGCTGCAAGTCGATGTGATTCAGGGGCTATCAAGAGCTTCTGACTCAAAAGAGCCTATTTATGATAGCCAAAAGGCACCCCAACATCAACAACAACAAGCGATGCCAAATACTAGACTTAATGTTGACTCCGAAATGGGAGACAGAATGTCATGGATTTGAGCCCTGGGCCGCTGCTCGAAAGAGTCCGAAGGAGGGCTTGTCCGCCGCATCCAAGCCCATATCGATGCACTCGTCCACATAGATCGCTGTAAGTAGCAGAGACAATGGCCTCAGTTCTGAGGTGAGACCCCGCATGGTGGACCACTGCTAGACCATGCAGAAGCTTGGGAGCTGCCTCTGTGTTCGCACTAGCATTTCTTTCAAGCTGGCTGTATAGAAGGAGACTATGCGGTATGCATGCTCAACAGTAGGAAGCCGTGAGTTAAACACCAGACGGGAGGGCCCGAATTGTCATAAGCGGAAAGGCGAAGGACGTTGGGGACGTTCTGGAGGTTGGACGTTGAAATTCCAGTCATAACGGTTGACGCCGCCAGCTGGGGCTCACACAGACTGACTGTTCAGAGCCGTGCCAAGCGCTGCTCTCAATCAAATTCGCGAGAGAGAAACGCTCCAGACTTCACCGACTCTCCGATTCTCCAAAGCGCTTCAAAGATATCCAAAGGATGGTCTCGGATTCCTTTCTCGGGGACTCGACTACGATAAGCCCCCGTTTGGAATTTCGGTTACAAGAGTACAGAAAAAGATCTTCACCGCAGGATCAACGGCGGCATTTCTATCATGCTTCTTTCATGGACTTCTGCAGGAGTGTTTCGGCCACGAACTGGGTTGAGTTCTACGAATGTACCCGATGAACGGGGATACCGCTGCTTGGGCGTACTTTTGCCATGCGAACTGTGCAGCCATGATTTGCTACAACAGCCGGGTGATTTTCTGCAGGCCATTGTGTTTCATGCTGATGAATAGGATCAAGGCTAGTGCCTTTATGTAACGACGTGCCGCATGGGGATTGCCTCAGCGCAGCCCAACACCTCACCTTACCACCCTTATTCCGAGTCAACGCTCAGGCAAAAGCTGCAGGCTCTGTTTCGAAGGCTTAGGGCATGGGATGAAAGCGCAGGCGGCTTAAGAATGAGCGTCTAAGAAGGCACGGGACTGCAGCTCGGGGGTCTTAAAACTTGCGGATGCTGCTGGGTAAGTCTCTTCGACAAGCAACGTCAGCAAGATTCCGACCACAATTCCGAAGCTGAGTCCGCTATCTTCGGGCGAGGCCATGATGAAGAAGAAGGCTTCCTCCGTCGCTCTAGGGCTGGGTGTTGTGTTTCGTAGCTACTGGAGCGGCTCCTTCCCCCGAACAGAGCAGTGGGATTAGCTTCATGATAGCCGACAGAACAAGGTTTTCAGCTGACCTCATGATGTATGACCCAGACACTGCTGTGCACCCAAGGGAAAGTGCCATCACCACAGCAAGCGAGAAGAAGATGTAGAACATGCCACGAAGCCGCACCGTTGTCTCATACCAATGCAAGTGCAAGCCTGGGCGAGACGAGCCCCCATGAGTCCAATTTCGAAAGCTATGTCGCCTCCGTCAACAAAAGCCTAGACTTGCAGGGGGATGTCGACAAGCCAGGACATGTCTAGCTGAAAACTGCAGAGACACTGTCATCTGGATGCATGAACCGCGAGTCTTTGGTGCCTGCCCTCTGAAAGGACTTGTCCTTGCTATCTTCCTCCATCTGAGCGTGAGATGATTCTCCAGCTTGGCCACTACGAGACTCCAGATCCAAGTCATCCAGGCTTTCTGCTGCATAGCCCTGATCTCTTGGGGACATTGACGTGGACAACATGGCGTCTTCAGCGCCACGCTGGCCTGTGCCGCCTGGAGGATATGGAGTCGAGCTTGTATCCAAAAGCGGCGGCACGTTGGTGGATAAGAACTCGGATCACTTAAGTTGCTGGTACACGCGACAACCTTCGACTATGCTTCAGCCAAAGATGTCAAGGAATGCACACACTCTTGACAGCGCCTCTTTCTTGTTCGGTTCAGCGTAGACATGCGGCATGGTCTGCCCAAAGCTATATGATATCCTATGGGCGCATTCTCGCGGAAATCTCTTCGCCTGAAGGCATGCGGCCTTGAGCGGCAAGCACTGCAATACACTGCAATGATTATCAGAGGTACACGGATCTGCCTTACAGCAACTACAGCCGAAAAGCCTCATAGATAAGCAGCCTGCATAGCTGAAACACTCACTCTCAGGACACTACACATGAAAAGCACGCCTCGGAAAGCGAGACAATCCGCAAAGAATTCTCAGATTCTCTGGGCTTGGGTGCAGGCCGTTGGGTGCCGCTTAGACCTGCAACGGATGTGGGATGCAGGGACATGTGGCGATCTTATATCAGGACATTTCAGGGCTCAGGGCTTGAAGGGGCCTCTTCCAAGGTGTAGGTCTGCGTCTCCACGGTGGAGATGCCGTCGATGGCCTTCAACTTGTCCAGGAAAGCCTCCTGCAGCTCAGGCTGCGAAAACACCTTCGCGGAAACTCCCCGGCCGGGGGGGGGGGGTGTAGGAGCTGTAGGGAGAGAGAGGGGGGGATGAAATCTTGGAGGTTGTTGGACCTTTCTTGGACCACTAACGCTCCTCCGGAGCAAAGCCTGCATTCTCCCAGTCACCAAACTTGTCGGCCGGCAGCTTCACAACCACCTTTGACAGCTTCTGGAAGAGATGGCGCATATTACATGATGGCATATCATGGCATCCTAGACGTGAGGCCTTGAAGTCTAAGCAACCTCCGCAGACCACTCGCTGCACTGACTTGACACCGTCCACCTGAATCAAGCCAACAGGATCCAACAGGTTCCAACTCGTTGGACAGCACGCTGAGGAGGGTGCAGACTTCACATCCGCGAGAACGGAGTCCAAGGCCCCCTGAGCTTCATCCAGCGATGCCTTCAAAGCAGCATAAACGCTCAGCTCATGCGTTGAACAAGAGCTCTGTCCCACCAAAGTCGCAAACAAGCAGGCCTTGTCATTGTCCGCCGACCACTTGCAGCGCCACTCGCGCGCAATGTTGTCAAACCTCAGCATGATTCGATGGCGTTGAGTCTCAGATCCGGCAGCTCTCCTTAATTAGGCACTACAAACGACGTGGTGATGGCCAGCATAATGTCCCAGTTCTGCAGGCAAGAGACGACACCTTCTCCGTGATTGATGCACGACGCAGAACTGCTGCAGCCAGCACAGCTGCACAGCCCAAGGATGCCTCAGACTCCGAGGTACAGAAACGCGATACTGCATAGTGGCATAGTGCATGGTGCAAAGCTTTCTCCGGGCCGCCCGGCGCTAAGCTGTAGGCCCTGACGGCCAAGATTGTCTGTTGAGGCGGAGGCTACTCCACGACGTGCGGGGGGGGCGGCTGGCAAGGGCGACAAGCCCAAGAGCAGCCAAAATGAAAGTAGTCCCAGTACAAGGTTACACAAGAGCACGAAAGGCACATTCGTCGCTGAAAAGAGTGGGTTGCGCTGCCTCGCGGTGATGAAGGGGCCACAAAGGCCCATGTAGACATCAGCGCCACGGCGGCCACGGCAGCGCGCAAGAGGCGCGTGGAAGCAGTCATTGCCTGAGGACTCTCGCAGCAAGGCGCAAGGTGCCATGCCCGAAAGTTTGTGCCCCACAGCGCGGCATCTTGCCAGCCGAGCAGCAGTGGGACGCAGGAGGAGCGCACCGACTTGAAACGACTACACGTGACTACACGTCACTTCACGTCGGAGCCAGAGTCCACAGAACATGAGCCCCTGCGACCTTCAGCGTGTTAAGGGCATCGGGATGCATCTCCCTGGCAGCGTTTGGCCTTCTATGGCCTTCTCGCAATTGCTTTTGGCTTCGCGCCGTTGAAACAAGTCGAGCAGGGCAGCAGGTGTGCCAGCTCTAAGAGTGACAAAACTCGCCGGCCAAGTCTCTACAGTAAGGCAACCTGCAGTCTCTCAGCCAAACCTAAGCCATCGACAGAACATATGGTTCATTGTACAGCAAGGTACTGCAATGTACGGCACCCAGAAATGCAGATGCAATCAAGGAGAAAAAGTTGCCTGTGCAAGCCCACCACATGTCCTAAACCAACGCGCCAAGAGATCTGCATGATCTGTTCCATCTGTTCCTGTGTCAGTCCCCGGCCCCTGGGCAGCGCATCAAGCAGCAAGAAGCAATGTCGAATGCATTGTGCTCAGCTGTTTGGCTCTTTGGGTGTACACTGTTCTTGTCGTGCTTGTTTGTGGACAGCAAATGCAAATAGCGGCTCAGCATAGGGCTTAGGCGGGTTGTCTGAGCTTGTTTGCCAGATGGGGCACGGTCAAGTCATGCCACAGGTGTAGGGTTTAGGCTTGAATATGTTTGTCTCCATCTCATGTCACGTGCTTCACCATTGTCTGGGTGCCCGGCATCCCAAAATACCGCGACTCAAATCTGCGGGCACAGGGAGACTATGGGGTCTGCCACGATGCTGGCTTGCTACTCTTGCCCTTCACTTGCAAACTAGCAAGAGGAGCTTCGCAACTGAGCCCCAGTCAATCACATTGTGAGCTTAGAGGCACTCTTGAACCCAGTCCAAGCACCAAAAGACCCCTCAGCGTGCATGCTTGTGAAGATCACGCGTGTGCGTCGGGTGTTTGCGATGACTGCAGAAGGATGCTGTCCTTCCCGGAGGCAAGAGACAACTCTACACTTTGCATAGTTTGGTCCTCTGGGCAATGGCTTCCCAACTTCGCTACCAGTGTGTGTGCGAAGCCTTTGCGGTCTCCAGTGGCAAGCAGAGCTTGGTCGTGTCATTGGAACATGAGCTCTCACAGCAGCATCTGCTGTTTCCGAGAGCATCCGGGCCGCCAATTGGGCCGAAGGGGTGGGTACCCAGTGCTGCTTCATGCAGGGCTAAGCCATCAGAGCTCCGTTGACACGAGTGCTGCATAGTGCTGCAGTTGACAGCCTATGGGAGCGTTCACCCTCAAATATAATGCAAGAGGTGAAAGAACAAAATATGTTCCTTACCGGTCAAAAACACAGTTCAGCATGCAGACTCCATGTTGCAGGTGCCTTCGAACGGGGAGCTTCCATAACCTTAGCCTGTGCTTTATCAACGCTATCACACATGCAAGGCTATGTAGGGTGAAAAAGTCTGGGGGGGGATGACTCTCTGACGAGCACAGCAGAGGAAGGCACCATGCTCCAACTACCAGATCATCATAGGCCATCCCTGACCACAAGCATCGAGATCACTGAAGGGCCTCTTCGAGGGTGTAGGTCTGCGTCTCCACCGTGGAGATGCCGTCGATGCCCTTCAGCTTGCCCAGGAATGCCTCCTGAATCGCAGGGCCATTGATACACAGGTCTCCCAAAAAAACTCTCCGAAAACTCCGAATCTCCCCATAACACGCCTCCGGGGCAAAGCTGGACTTCTCCCAGTCGCCGAACTTGTCGGCCGGGAGCTTCACAACTACCTGGGTGAGAAAAGTTTAGGGCTTCAGGAGGTTTCAGGTGCTTGGGGTTTCTGGCTCCTTGGCTCTGGAGGTTTAGTGCTTCAGGGCTGCTACGGTTGCGGTTGCAGGTTTAAACCCTAAACCCTTAACCCTAAGCCCTTCCCTAAACCCTAAAACCCCAAAACCCCCAAACCCTAAAACCCTAAACCCCAAAACAGTCCTAAAACCAGCCCATAACCACCAACTCTTGGTGACTGCGCCTTGAAGTCCAGACAGCCGCCGCAGACCACGCGCTGCACGCTTCCAACACCAGCTACCTCACCGGCCGGCTGAACGCAGGTGAGCAGCACTTGCAAAGAGGCTAATTGCAGGATCAATCTGTGAGAGAGACTGCAAGGTCTGAGCACCATTCCTTCTTGATCTCGGGCAAAACCTGCACGGCTGCTACACTCGACTGTTGCCCAGGAAACCGGTAGCCCACCACTGCACCGACAATTGCAAGCTAAGGCGCTTCATCCAATGCGGCTTGGGCCGCCTTCAGGGAAGCCTCTCAGAATTTCGGAGCACAGTTTGTTTTGCTGAATCCCACAATAGACATTGGCGAATCACTCTTCAGAACTCCGAGACTCATTGGGACTCATTGAGACTCATTGTGTCACATGGCCCACGTTGCTCAAGCAACACATTGTGACCTTTTTTTAACGTTCTTCCATCCAGCCTCGGCCCTCGGCGTGCGCCTTAATGCGAACCTTTTCGTCTCAACCATTCTGCAGCTGAGTGCCCACCCACCCCCCCCCCCGCCCCCCACCCCACCCCCCCGCAGAGAAGCTTCATGTTTTCGAGTTCTGCAGAACATTCTCTCTGTACTGGACAGTCGATGTCTGTGTGTGTGTGTGTGTGTTCTCGTGTTCTCTCATGCGTGTCTGTGCGAATGCATGGCTCTAAGCGTGCCTGCATGCTCTGCTTGCCCGCGGGCAGCCGAGCAGGTGTTCACTTTCGCTGGCTAGGATAATCACGCCAGATGTCAGCAAGCAAAGCATCAAACAAACGAAACAGACGAATGGACAGACAAAAACACTCTTGGTGAAGTGGCCTTCTCGCCATCAGCAGACCACTTGCAACGCCATTCGCGGGCAATGTTGTTGAACCTAGGAAGGGAACACACAGGAACCAGCCGTTGAAGGATGCCGTATCACCGAAACATCTATACAAGGGAGCCATCTCTATCAGAAGCACTCGAAAAGGGGGCCATCTCTTGCATTGGACAACTGCCTCACGGCTGAAATGGTTGGAGCAAGGCACGACACGTTGTCGGTGATTGCTGGCATCCTGCTGAGTGCAAGCTTCACTTCGCGTCCGAACTTGCGAACTTGAGCCGATCTGGCGAGTCTGAAGTGCAAAAAACTTGATCGTTCAAACAGGCTCGTGGCCGAAAAGCAGGTCCTGCTTCTACTGGGGTCTTGGAAGGCTGGGAAGTCGAGTGCAAGGCACACTCTTTCTTGGGCGCTGACTTCAACAGGAAAGGCAGGCTACGGCAAAGACGCAGCAAGGCGGCAGCCGAGGCGGCCACGAGGCCGCCGACCCGGTTCTGAGATCGGATCCTGCGACCCCTTTCAGGGACACTGGGGGTCGATTCGATGACGGGGTCTCCTAGGACCTGTGTGAGCAGCTCTGCGCCACTGCCCTCGGCACCAAGCAAGGCGCTCTGCAGCGTGCAAAGCGCGGTGAAGTGGTCTTGGGGAGGGAGCCGCCAAGATGCGCATCCTCTCCAACCAGCTGAGAAGCTAAAGGGACTGAAAGATGTGTCCGAAGCAAGCAACACCAAGCAAACCATGCAACTGGGAGCATCTCTCCCAAGCGGAGGCTTCCACAGGGTCTGGAGCAACTCGGACACAAAAACATCACATGGCACGGGTCTACAGGCGTCTCTCGCCAAATCACTCACCGAGTTTGCGAGGCGCAGCTGTAAGGTGCCATCTTTTCTGTAGGGTAGAGTTGGAAGGTGACCGCCCTCTGGCATCTGCACGGTGCAAGCCCTTCTTCCTGGGGTGGATGCCTTCGCCTGGACGCCCTTCTGCCTGCATTGCCTGCGCTCGTCCAGAGCCATGTCCACAAGCATTCGAAGCTCTTTTAAGATGCTATACTCAGTGGCCCGGCGGCCTCGGAAGCGTCCCTGAAAGCGGCGTGTGACAGTCACCACTGAACCATCCGTGAATGCGAAGGACAGCCTGCACCGATCCCAAGCGTGGTGTGCCCGCCAGAGTCCGGCGATGCAGCTCCGGGCAATCAAGCTGCATGCGGCCGCAGAACCCGAAGTCGGATCGCACGACAGATCTGCCAGTCTTGCCTGCACCGGCAGACAGAAATGGACCAATGGCCCGTCACGTGCAAACAGCTCTTGCTCTTTGTCTCGACCTGGGCAAGGCCATCCAACCTGCAACCTCTTGTCCGACTTGTCCGACTTGTCCGACTTGTCCGAATTCAACATGTTCAACATGTTCAGATCCTTCCAGTGTTTGAGGACTCCCAAGGACTTGAGAAGCTGGTGACAGCTGTGCAACGCCTGCAAACGCGCCACGACCTTCGACGTAAACTCGCCAACCCAGCCCATGCTCAATCGCAGAACGCCCCAGTGGCGCTCGACAGCGGCACGCGCAAAGCACTCCAGCTGTTCCCGGTTCAGCTCCTCCCGAAGACCCAACACGAAGACCGCTCGCCGTGCTTCAGGAACATCTTTGCCCGCTAGTGGTGCCGTCACGGGCAGTGGGTGAAAAGTCTCATCGAGAAGCACCAAAACAGAGTTCTCAGGCTCGCCGAATGCTTCAAAGAAAGCTTCAGCCGTCTCCTGCAAGCCCTCGAAGCCCTCGAAGCCCTTTGAGTCACAGTCGCGGCTTTGCAGAAGAGAGGTGCCGGACGGCCTTGCTTCCACAGCCGCACGGCGGCTGCTCTCGTGCCCGGCCACTTCCTCATCATGGACCGTTTGCGCAACCCGCTGGCACTGCCGCAGTATTGAATACTCAGTAAGCGGCTGCTTCTGTACAAAATCCCTTGTCAGTATCCACCATTGTCTGCTGCGCGTCTGAGGAGTAGATTCAAAAACCAGCACGACAGCGACGTCTGGGGACTTGCTGCCAAGTGCAGTGATGAGCGACCGCGCAACGTCATCCCGTGTATTCCCGAGGTCCCTCACGCCTTCGGGCGACTTTGGCCACGCATCTTTTGAGCCACTGCCACGTGCGAGAATACAGAAGATCACCTTGGCGTTCTTTGCAGCTTCAAGGTTGAAGTCACGCCAGTCAGTGTCAGTGTGTTGTTGAGCATTTTGAGCATGTTGAGCCCGGGCCAGCTTGCCGTGCTTGCTTCGAATACACCCCTTAGAAAATAATCCAACCATAGCAGCCAGACCACCTGTCAGCACCGCTTTCCCTCTGCCGGCCACCGGATGCACACAAAGCGTACACCTGCTGGGAGGAATCCGTGAAGTCCGCCCATGGCAGCGGCGATGTCTGTGCCGCACAGACAGATCAGGCAACGACAGGCTCATGACATGCTGTACTCTGCCAGCATGCCAACCTTTGTGACGGCCGGCCAGACGTGACAGTGCCTGCTCCGTGCCGAGAAATTGCGCTTGCATCTTCCTAGTGCTCTGTCGAGGCGCAGCTTCTTGCGACCCGTGACCCCTGGATACTCACAGCACATGTAGGGCGAAACCATCCGAAGAAGTACAGAAACAGACACTTTTTGCGCACATCCTCCTGTCCATCCATCTAACATCCTTCAAGTGCAACACGGTCCTTTGGACCATGAGCCCACTGACGAATCTGACGAAGACTTCGCATGGAATCGAATGTGAGGGTTCTCTGGTCTCAGGGTCTGCATGCAAGAAAGGTGCTGTATGTTGCAATGCTTCTTTGTTGGGCTAATTAGTCATGCGCCAACACAACAGACGTGGGACTCCATTAGGTTGTTGCAGCATCAAAAGACAAAGAAAGCTTCTTCATGCATCTGAGTCCAGCTTCTTTGGAAAACACCCACTGCCGGGCCCCGTCTGGCCGCACATCTCGAAACTTATCTGCTGACAATGCTTCCATATAATTCCTCGCTGACAAGGCCACGTGTAAAAGGAACGATATCCAAGGTGATTGTTCTTGGAGTTCTTGTCTGTCGCTGGCGACGAACCAAACAGATCACGACTTAGGCACTAAGGCCAATCTAAAGACAATAGATATGTTGGAAGGAGAGCCAAACTATGCGTCGCGCACGTGGTCAGAACTAGATATTCTCGGTCTTGCCGATGCACAAGGCTTGCTGGATGTTGGCTTTCGAGGGGCCAAAGTCGCTATGTGCCTGAGTCCATGCGGGCCCATCCTCCAGCGACAGAAGCTACGGCTGATGTCGCAAGCTGCGCGTGAGTCTCATGATCACTGCAAGATGCATAAAAGCTCATGTGGAGCGAACCTGAGACTACGCTTGCCAGCGTGCTGGTAGCGGGTGCAAGGTACAGAACAAGCGAAGGCTGAAGAATCACAACGGGCAGATTGCGATCTTGTGCTTGGGCATCTATGCTCTTGAAACATGGCATATTCAAACACTCGCATCCGCTCCACAGCCTGTGCGAACCGGCAAGAGCAAAGCTCTTCCTCATCTCACAATTGAATGCAGAGCAAGCGACAAGCCACGCTCAAGTGAAGCCTGGCCATGAGGTTTGGTGGCTCATATCTGTCCGCAGATTCAATCCCTCCTGCTTTGGCACGGTATACCGCTGACTCAATGTCAGACTTGCATTGCGAAGCATTACGTGCTTCAGTGTCCTTGGCATTTAAACAAACGTGTGAAGACTCATTCTCTGTTCCCTGCCTGGTTCATGCGCGATCTTCCAAACTGCGTTTGCAGCAGCGTCGAAACTCTCACAGACCTTCACGACAGCTGACTGGTCATCGACATCGCTTCGCATGCTGTCCAAGCTGTAGAAACTGAGTCGAAAAACTCAAACAGCTCTTGCATGTCAATTCGTCAGTTCCAACACTCTTTGGAGCGCGCCTGAACAGTTTGGCTCTCTCGCACTGGGATCGATCGTGAGGTCGCCTGCAGGGTGCTCAAGCCTCCTACGCCCAAACCTCATTTCCTCGCTTGCTGCCTCGACTTGCGTTGGATATACAATGTTCTGGTGGCTCTAGGCAAATTCATGTGAACAAAACGAAGACTCAGCGGGCCTCAACAACAACTGGAGTTGAGGCCAGTTCAGGTCTCGAGGCAATGTACCTGAAGCTCTTCAGGAAGGATGGGTAAAGCCCAGGATGAAACCGCACGCTCGCCTGCGGCATGGTCCGAGCTAAGGTGGGGACTGCAAAAAGAGCGGTGCTTCAGCACCTGTAACCATGACCTGAAGCGGTTGGAGTTCTCAGCGTCTCTCGGCTGCAAAGAGTTTGACCAGAGCTGACTGAAAGAAGTCCGTCGACCACCACATGCAGGCACTTCTGCTGCTTCTCCCATTATATCTTTTCCCTGTACGTTTCTGCCGAGCCGTGTTGTGGTCATTCGCTATGAGGGCCATTCTAAACCCTAAACCCCAGACCCCTAATCCCGCACATCCCTAAACCCTTCACGAAACAATCGTGGCAATGCGCATGGAAGGCTGGCTGAGAGTGGAGGCATTGCTATGCTTGCTATGATTGTTACGATTGCTATGATTGCTATGACTGCTCTCTGAGACACTCCGACTCAGTTCCGTGCCACGGTGCGGACCAGGGCACGCTTCTTGTCCAGCGCCCTCGGCTGCATAGACTAGACTTTGCTTAGCCTTTTGGGCAGGCTTAGCATAGCCGCAAACGCAAGCTCCCTAACAGACCCCCAACGCTCCTGGCGGCATTCTTGTGGGTCTTGTACCCTTTGACCTGACCGAGACGCGCCGACACCGCGCTTAGATCTTGGTAGGTTGATGCGGCGTTTGCCAGCGCCAAGAACTGTGCCTGGCAGCCCAGTCCTTCGAGCTGTGCTTTCAGGCTCACTGCCGTGGGTTTGAAGGCCTGACAGATCTGAAAGCTTCTCAGAAGACTCTTGTTAAAAAAGATGTGGCCTGATCGGAAATCCAGACCAATGTCCAACCACCATCAGACGCCTTGCCCACCCGTCGCAAACGTCACACGCTGCAACTAGCGACCAAGCTCGTCACTACCTCTACCTCTTTTTCCGAGCGCAAGGCCTTGGGAGTCGTGTCGGCACCTACAGACGTGAAGGAAGTGTCGCGTCAATGCAGGGCAACGAAGACTCCAAAAAGGCATCGGAGTCGGAGGTTCCGGGGGGATGTTTATTGCAGGGGTGTGTGGTCTCTCTCCCATGGCCCCCGCGCGCACAAGCAGCAGAAACCAAGAGCAGAAGTTGAACCACATGTGCCTGACGTGTCCTTTGCTGCACTCTTGGCCGCTGCTCGCTCTGAAGATGCGGGAACCTCAGCTGGCACGACTTCACTTCCCAGTACGGGACCTGCAGAATACGCAAACAACGGGATTCAGCATGTGCCACGCTAGAAGGAAGCTTTCAAGATTTATGCGCGCCCTAGTTTGTACTGCTGACAGGCGAACATGTCTGGGCAAAGGGTGGAACAGGTTCACCTCGTCACGAAAGTGCAACATCACAATTTGGGCGATATCTCTCTTGGGCAGCCGTTAAGTGGCCGTATTTGGGGGTTCCGAAATTTGGGGAACCTTATTGGGGTCCTTATTATACGGGAATCCTACTATTTAGGGGGTCTAATATTGGGGGTCCCTTATTTTCTTCTCTTTCATCGCTCTGGGCCGGATCCATGTGTCGTCCCTTGGCCTTTGTGGCCTTTGGCCCTCCACGCTGTGAGAGACCTGCTATCTTTTCTCACTTGCTACAGGGACAGACATGGACAGATGCTAGGTCAAACGAGAGGACGCCCCCGGTTTAACCATACTCCGTCCTTCAATCGGGTCGAAGTCACCGTCACGCTCAGAGGAGACGAATCATAAGATGTTTGTCTCGGCTCGTGTGTCTGTGGGTGCACATCATGTGCAGCCACATCCGAGCACGAGAGAAACACAGATCGCAGGTTCAAACCTACATGGAATCGGACAGATGCCGCGTATCTGATGCAGTTATTCGCCCTCAACTCAGAGCGTCCCAATCGAAGAGCCCATCACGGTCCGCATCCTGGTCCTGGTGCAGACTCTTTCCGTGTGAGAGGGTTTAGGGTTTAGGGTTTCGGGTTTCGGGTTTCGGGTTTAGGGTTTAGGGTTTAGGGTTTAGGGTTTAGGGTTTAGGGTTTAGGGTTTAGGGTTTAGGGTTTAGGGTGTAGGGTGTAGGGTTTAGGGTTTAGGGTTTAGGGTTAGCAACAAGCTTGAAGAAGCTTCTGAGGCGATTCCCCAGTCCTGAATCACGCCCAGCTCCAGTAGATGGTCCTGGCACGGGCGTTGCACTACGCAGCCAAACATACTTGGAGTTTCATGGGTACTTACAACCCACTTATAAGTCTACTTAGCACCTACTTGGGGGACTTAGGGGGTTTATAAGTACAGTTAGAATTAGGGTTATAAGTGCCCATTAACCTCCAAGTAGGAGTGCCTCACCAACACAGCCGAACGAAGGAAAGCACATCTGCGCTGGTCAAGAGATCCGTGCCCGGAGTGCTACAGCAAAACAGGGAAACCCTCTTCTCCTGTTTTTATCTCAAAGAAACAGCCAACAGAAAAACGAGGGAAGGCTACCTCAGCATTGGGTCCCAAGTCAGCCGCCAAGAGACACAAGAATGCGAACAACGAACAACGTGTAGACCAAGAATGAATGTGAGGAATTGTGAGAACAAGGCGAAGCGATCCGGCGAGAAAATGTTCGAAGGAACTCCAAGTATTCCAAGTCTGTACACGGCTCTACGTGGAATGCCTGCACTGTGTGACCATTTGTGCTGCAAGCAGCTGATATAACACCCTTAAACATTTCACGCCCAGCTCTCGTCTCCCAAAAACGTCGATGACTGACAGGAGCTTTCCACAGAGTTTTCTGGCCTTCAGTCTTGTAGTATCCACACCAGCCGCGGTGACAGCGTTCAACCTGCACAGATGCGACGACAGCAGGACTACTCCAACATGATCTTCGCCAAAGCCGCTTCCTTCCGCCGGGTTTGGTACGTAACTGGGTCCTGAAGTCCTAAAAGCTTGCAGGAATTACGCAGCCTTGCAGCGCAGCAGTTTGCCCTGAAACCCCTGAGGTCTCTGCAGCCGCTGGGACCCAGCTTCGCCAGGGTCGAAGCCCCAACGCCTGGGCTCCAAAAGTAGAACCGCGTTGTGGGGTCCGGGGGTTATGGTTTATGGTTTATGGATTATGGTTTATGGTTCTTATGGCTTTTTTATGGTTTATGGCTTAATTGGGTTTAACAGCTTGACAGTTTAACAATTTAGAGTGCGGCATGGAAGCAACTTCTCAGCACCGCGGCCGGGCAGTGTCGTAGCAGTCGCGCGTTGAGATGAGCTCGTCGGTAAGCTGCTGAGCCAGCCTCTCTGTTTAGGGTTTAGGGTTTAGGGTTTAGGGTTTAGGGTTTAGGGTTTAGGGTTTAGGGTTTAGGGTTTAGGGTTCAGGGTTTGGGGTTTAGGGTTCAGGGTTTAGGGTCCTAGGCCAACACGCCTGCGGGAAGCGTGCAAAAACACAACATGTCTCAATGCTATCCATGCCGTGACCAATGCTGAGTGCGCAGTTCAACACTGTGAACAAGATGTGGACACGCAGTGAACACGCTGTGAACACGCTGCGACCTCGTAGTCAAGGACAGTGCATCATCACCGGGGCCTGACATTGATGACACATGACACGAGACGTAGCAACACTGCCGAATGCAGCATCCGAATATTCCGAACGCAACATCCATAAACCCCAAAATGATCGCCCAACGCAGGATGCCCCTGATGCCCCCACCGACATTCTTGCACAGGGTCTAGAGGGTCTAGAGCCTCCCCTAAACCCTAAACCCTAAACCCTAAACCCCTAAATCAACAACAGCTGCCAAAGGCCTTGGCCTGGTAAGATGCTGGAGGCCTGCACCAACATGAGGCATCGGGTCTCGGGTTTCGAGTTTCGGGTTTCGGGTTTAGGGTTTAAAGTTTAGGGTTTAGGGTTTAGGGTTTAGGGTTTCGGGTTTCGGGTTTAGGGTTTAGGGCTTGCGTTCCAAACACCAGGCATCCCTGAGGGCGCTAAGATCGCTGAAAGCTCCGCAGTCCGCCTCAATGGCCAAGCCCTCCGGTGGCACCTGTCAGGTTCCCACCGAGTTCCCACCTCTGTGCCGGAATCCTCATACATCTGGGGGTTTACGATATTCGGGGTACTGTACTGCCTTGTTGGGGTCCTGACTCTAAGGGGATCCTACTATTTGGGGGTCGATATTGGGGGTCATCTGCGTATCGAAGCCACCACCGCAGGACCTCAGCACCCAATGCCACCAGCCGCTCTGCTGCCTGCAAACACGCCGACGAAAGGGCTTCATATCAGAAGAATGGAAGACTTCGGGACACGGAATCACGGAAGCAGCTACAATTGGAGCACAGTTTTCCGCAGGGAAAAAGGAGACCCAGAGCCTCGAAATTGCCAGCTTCTGCCGCCAGCTTCAGCCTTAGGCACTGTTTCTGACCGATGCAACGGCTGAGCCTTGATGCTGATGCTGAGGTTGAAATTAGAGCTCGTGAAAAATGCGAGCAAAGAGTTGTTCGAAGATTTGGGAGCTGTGGGGGGAAGGTGTCTAGGTCAGCATGCCCTAGAAGACCTCTCAGGAGAAGGCCGCGACAGCACACCAGATGGGGACACAAACGCTCCATGCATTATCCGCTTTCGTTGCTGAATGTGCTTTGTCTTGCCTGCCGCTCCACTCCTGGGCGGCGTGCCTTGGCCATGCCTAGTTAGCCTCGCTGCGCCTTGCCTTCCACGCCTCGCTGCGCGTTGGCATGTCTTGCTGTGCCTTGCAAACAGAAGATGAAAAGGACCCACGTTCCTTGCACAGGGTATATTACCGGGTATATGCCAGATGCCTTGCATGCATGCACAATACATCAGCACAAGATCAATTGCCGCGAAAGCTGTTGAGCTTGTGTATTCCATTGCGGTCTTAACCAAGTTCCACGGCTGCTTGAGAGCCATCACAAAGTTGGATCATTCTTGGGGGCAGTTGTGCTGCATTTGCGGGGCTGGGATGTTGGGCTGAATGTGAAGACGATTGTTGAAGGCTGAGGGCTTAAGGTGGAGAGGTTGTGGAATTCAGCGACCGCCTGCTCCCACCCCCACCGCTGCAAGTTGGGACCACAAAGCACCCCATTGCCACAGAAAAGCGATCATAAAAACCGCAAAAAGGAAGCAATCTTCGTCCCTAGGAACTTCAACAGTTGTAACATCTTGGGATCAACAGTAACTTGTATAAGGAAGCTATAAGAAGCGGAAAACTCAATGGAATGAATTGTGGATTTGTGGGAAACCCATGCACTTAGCGCGCCTTTATGTGGGTTTTACCAATGCTGCTGAGTTCACTTCAACGTCGCCGTCATCCACGAATCCCAGAAAGAAAAGTTGCTCCTTGCACCTTTATTCTTGCAAAACTCGCGAATTCTTCCCGAAAGCGGGTTCCTTCTCAAATTTCTGTCACGTGATCGTACGGCTTCTTGGGTCGTTGATGCAGATTCTGGGGCGCGAGGGCAGATCAAGGATGAACGCAACATCAATCTCACGAGACCTCAACTGCACAAGATTCCTGTTCAGCTGTTCAGGAAGAACATATTGAGTTGTAAAGAACGAAAAGGCCATGAGCTGAATCTTGAACTAACGAGCTAGTGAACAAGAAAGAAACAGTCCGCGAGTCTGATCTGACGGAGCAGAAGTGCTCGCATGCAGAGGCAGGGTAGGCGATGTCCCGGGCTTACTGTAGCCTGTTGTTCGATTCTTCGAATGAATGACATCGGTGTTGCATGTGACTTCCGTGGCTGGCGACAAGCCGGCAACAAACTCAAGTTTTCAGACTATGGCAAAACACTCGGATACGCACGACGCACTCTCACCATGAAAGGGTCCATAGGGTCCTGAGTCTCAAGCGCCGTGAGGCCGTCGTTGGCCCGAGCCTCCAGCTTGGCTCGCCACGCAACGAGCAGTCGCAGGACCTGAAACTCGAAGTGAAACTCTACTCGGAACTGAGGATCAAAGGACAGGAGACTGGCGGAATGAAAAACATCGAAGATCCAGGTACTCGGCCTCCAGCTGACCATTGAGAGCCGCCAGCATCAAGGCGGTCTCCTAAGTCATGGACCGGCTTTGGAGTCTAAGGCGGGCAAAGGGGATCTCACACCTGAGCCCACAACACCGTCGAGGCCCTGCATCTCCAGGGCAGCTTCGGCCTGCCAGGGTGGAGGACTTTAAGCAACAGCCAAAGATGTCATAGGGGGCAGTCCTCCTATGTCAACTTCTTGCCATGTATTCTCTCAGCAACACGAACACGGTGCAAGTGGATGTTCTTTTTGTAGGCAAGTACATCCCGCCTCCAGCAATCTCTTCACGATCGCGAAGTGACCCACCTGACTTCGAGCCGCTGTCACTCGCCGCTAAGCACAAGCCGCTGGCAGTCCATGTCGCATCTTTCTGAGCGCTACGTTTGTTCATGCAGACATCCCGCGTCTCCGCTGGCAATCCGAAGAACACGTCTGAAGCGCGTTGGCATTCATGGATGCTGCAGCACAGCACGTGCATCTCGCTTCTGCAGGCTAATGGGGTGCAACTGGCGTGATGCTTCGGGACTGCGCCTGCGAGGCCAGAAGCATGGGAGACCAACCACGACTGTCCTGAACCGTACAGGCAGCAGGTGTTCTACAAGCAGATCTCGAAGTGGAGCTTGATGATGCTTGGCTCTTGCACATGATTTACCAACATCTGCTGCACAAGTTCTGCTCCAAGAATGGTCGGTTCTCTTTAGGCACTTCACATCCTATGTCGGAGTAGGGTTTGGGGCCTTGGCAGCATGCAATGGCCACAAATGATTGGTTGGGCCTGCGCATCCAGCAAGGCTCGGCTCAGCAGCAGCTGATCCACAACCTCCTCCACAAGCAATCGTTGTTGCAAGCTGTAGGCATCAAGTCATCCTTGAGAGCGGCCCTGCTGGGAACAAGAACAACCCGCCTGCCATCCCTGCAAAGAAGCCCAATGCAGTGCACTCCGCCCAGAAAGATCCACAGCCGATGCCGAAGCCTCCCACTGGCACTTCACTTCAACTTCACGCGGTCGTTGTTGGTGCGTTGTGGGGCATAGGCCTGGTGCCTCAGCAAGCCTCAGCGTTCTTGTGTGTGTGTGTCCCCGAAGTCTCCCAGATCTCTGAGGCTTCTGTGTCTGCACTGCACCACCAAGCTGTGCACCAGGCTTTCCACGATTTGAACATGTCCACGGTAACCTCTGCAGGCACTCCTGGACCACACAACGCGAAGTGGGCATGATGATCGCGACAGCACTCGTCTGGAACTCTGAGCGCTCAACAGGCGTGTGACAAGGCCTGGGCAAGTGGGAGAACTAAAGCCGTGTGAACCTCGGAGGGTTGTAGTTGTAGCACCAGGCTTGGAACGTGTTGCATAAGGTTACCACATTGTACTACATGCTAACCTACATGCTTGAGAAAGAAAATTGCAGGGACAAGGCCGGTAACACCACCACAACCAGCCACTGCTACCTAGGTCTCGCAACTTTTTGTCTGAACATGTCGGGCCTCCTCATCGACCCCGAAACTCGAAACTCGAATGCCAGAGCCAGCTATAGCTATCAGGTTTGATGGCTCGGCCTGCCAGTGAGACCCGTTGCCCAGCAAACAACAACTTGTTGTTCATATCTTAGATATGAAGCTACTCCGGTGTTGTCCGTTGTATAGGGGACAGCCTTGTTGTTAGAAAACGATCTGCATATTCCCAGTTGAGGCAGTACTGTACACATCCTGCGCCGTGTGATCATCATGAGCAGCGCAGGAAGACCGCAGTGTTGGATTCCGTTTGCAGGCTGCGGCATGCCAAACAGGCACAGGGTGACGGCGCCTTCTATGACAGCGGCAGTTCTACGTCGAATTTTGAGCAGAAGCCCAAGGTGGCACCGATATCGGTGGCACATTTCGTCAATCGGGCGCAGGCTGTGTCACTGGTCTTTGGCTGAGCGGCGTCCTGCGAATACGGCAAAGGCACCTGGCAGGGCAGAGGCTCAGATTTCGGGATGTTTACATATGATTTACATTACAGCTCAGAGGGAGGTCAAGCGTCAGAGCAACCCTCATCGGCCAGCCAGCCTTCCACGACTTTGACCTCAGAGATACAGATGGCTGAGATGCTTACGCAAATTGGGCACTTTGGCTATAGGTAGGATCTGACTAGTTACCGTAGTCGTGCATAATATCATCGAGATCACGGCCAGAACATGAGATGCTATGACAAGCAGACCATGCTCTTCTGTCCTGCTCTAGGACTCTGGTTTGCCTTCATGGAAACCCTGAGCAGAGGCCTTCAACTGTTCCGATGTTGCACCCGGTTGCCTTCAACTAAATTGTGCTGAGCTTCTCCCCAGAAAAGGTTCATCACGTGCGGGAGTATGAGGGACTGGCACCAAAGCCAGCCCAGCGGATGGATGCCATCAGGCTGCGCCTGAAACCATGAGATGGGGGCCCTAGGAACTGACACACTCATGCACATTGCCCCAGGCTACAGTTTCTTTACCGCGGGTGCGCCCGTCAGACTGTTCTGTGCAAGCCTTCAATCCCCCACGAATTTCATGGAGCTTCTGCAAGTTCACAGTACTGGTGACGCACACCTTCACATCTGAGTCACTTGCAAACGCGTACGTACGCACCTCGGTCATCAAGCGCTGAGACCACGGAGGCGCGCGCATCATCGCCAGGATCTGCGGGATGGCACCCACCATCCTCTCCAGATGCGCAACTGTGACACGCTATTGCATCGGGCCTTACAATAGGGCTGCAAGCGGCTGAGGTATCAACAAACCTCTTTAGGACCACAAAAAGGGTCAAAACGCAAAAAATTTGCGCACCAAAAGATGTTTGCATGAAGTTCGTAGGGATACGTAGGGCTGCATGTGCCACCTGGGACCCAGGACACGCACTCCAGGCTCCCATGACGAGTTTTGGAAGGAAGATTACTGCATGATCATGCTTTGGAAAGCGAGCTTGCCGGCTTGAAAGCCAGGGGGGGGGAAGGGGGGGGAAGGGGGGGCATTGACAAACTCAATGCAAACGCGCGAAATGGCACGAACATGAATGTTCCCAAAGCTTGTTGCGAGTGCTATTTATGGCCAGAAACCCTGGGATGATCCGGGATGATGAATGATGGGTTGTCCATCGAAGCCGTCCTTAACCATACAAAGAGGCCGGTGAACAGGAGGCCAGTCACGCTGTAAGCGATGCTCCTCAGATGGCAGAGAAGGAACGTGACAGCTAGGGTAGAAATGGGTAGAAGCAGAGAATCCTTAGAGATTGCCGAAAGCCAGCACGAGACGGTGATGAAACCCGTGTCACATGGGAAGCTGGCCGAGCGGAAAAACTCTGTAGTCTTAGCAATAGCCAACTCGCCTGCTGCGCATCTTGTGTGAACAGGACTTATCAAAGAACGCAGCCTGGAAAGGCAACCTCTACAGTAGAAACCTGACTGTGCCATTGCGCACCTTTGATCAGGGTTTGCACTTCCCCGCTCATTGCTGCAAAGGCACTGCTTATACCCAGCAGCCGAAATTATCCAGAGAAGCGTGAGAAGCAAGCTCGTGCTCTCGTAGGACAACATAATTAACACCTCACTGCACTCACACGTCGCTAGACTTGCTCCGGTATGGGCCCAAACCATGCTGTGCGAACATTGAAGCGAGTGGCCTAGACACCCAAAACCTTCCGCACTACTGGGCTTCCCAGCACACATTGTGCTTTTGCTCGACTCTTCTTGATTGCAACATGTTCTGCTCCAGCATGGACTTGCAATTGGCTTGAAAGTACAGCATTGCCTAGACTTGTGATTGACGTGAGAACCATTGCTCAAGCAACCTGGTGAGGGGAGGTGGAACAAAACCTCTACAAGGTTTGTCACTGGAAGCTGCCTTACCTCAAGAGTTGGTGGCCCAATGCAACAACTACACAAGACGATACCGACGAGACGCAAAGCCTTGTTCACACACGCCACTCCAGTACAGTTCTACCTGTGAGAAAGTCCTCAGGTTAGTCCTCGGCACCTGTTGCATCCCCCTAATTGCGGCCATGGGCGTATCGCGCCACCCAATCAAAGTATATCGCTGCTGGCCACACCGCCATGGATGCGACCTGGGAACATTTAGCACCTTTGAAAGGAAACCGTTCAATGCAAACACTGCGAAGATCTGGGAAGTGGTCCAAACGCAACTTATGCAACTTGTTGCTTGGCAGATATGGGCCAATGGGCCATCAAATGCCTCGACTAGGGCTTTGGCATGGTGCAGAAGCATCACGCGTCGCTCAGTTCTCGAGCTCTTGGTGAGTTGCCACCTTGCAAAGAGCAGACGATGGGGATATGCAGACGCAACAAGAAACATCCTTAGCGGTTCATGCCTGTGTCATGCCGGCGCTTCAACACCATCCATTCACAGTAGAGTTCCTTGACGTGCATGAGCCCTCTACGCATGGCAGAAGCCTGCGTGCATGCACACAAACTGGCGTCCGTGGAAACGAAGTGTGCGGAGCGTGCGTGCAGACGCATGCAAAGCGTTCAAGCATGTGTGCGTGCGGGATAGGCTCCACAGCACAAGTACTGCTAGCGGCAACTGTGCATGAGCGCGGAAGCATGCTCACGATGAAGCTACGCAACCTTTAAAGCAGGTGCGCGAGCAAGAACGCCGTGCACCCTCCGGCCACCCGCGTAGCTCCCGCAAGGCTCCCGCAGCTCCCTGACGGACTCCTCCGTAACTGTACTAACACAACTTGCCGGACTCCCGTCACCGAATGTTTTGGGGCAGCTGTCAGCGACCAAGCGTTGGGATGGCAGCACAAGCTTGTGCTTTCTTTCATGACTTCCGACCACTGGAAGTTGCTAAGGTTCCCACTGTCTCAGCAGCAGAAGGTCTGCGGTGAAGTATCCAATCCTAAGCTCTCATGCATTGCCAAGGGAGCACTGGCAGCAGTATTCGAGCGTTTATCCGAAAGCCAAACACGCGGCTGGAGAAGCTGCTGAGTTCCAGGAGCCAAAGAAGCAAAACAAACCAAAACCTAAAGCCTGCCAGGGTGCGTCACTGGAGTCAACGCTCGGGCCTCAAACCAACAGATTGCAAACCTCCCACTGCTTCCTCCGACCAATCTGCCTATCTGGGATGGGAGTTGTAAAGCGTTGCTGAGCACGGCAACATGTAACAGACCGCAACTGAAAAACACACACACACAAAGAGAGACACACAGAGGCTTGCGTGCGCGGCTGAATATGCCGTTTCCCCCTCGCTTCCCAACGCAGTCGCGCATTTCCAGTGTCAATGGGGTCATACAAAGAATACTCAGACAGCTTGAACCTGGACAAGCCGGGCGACAGCCAACGGCAAGGAGGTCCCACGGTTCATCTGAACAGCAGCCTGCAAGAACTGCCCAAAACCAACTCTTGCACATGTTCCACGGCCCCAGGACCTACGGAGAATGATATGACATGCACATGTAACAGGTACAGCAGATCTAAGCTCTCGCACGAAATCTCACCCAAGCTTGGGCTGGCTTGCCTCGTAACAGCCGAAGCAAGAATAAAGCCTTAGATTTGACCAGAAGAAATTGCTGAGGAAGGAGTTGTGGGGCACACATGCTGTGTCTCTTGAGGCAGCTCATAGTGGCAATCTGTAAACCGACAACCTAGTGACTGAAAAGACTCAGTGCAATCGAGGGACTGCTTAATTACTGGATCTTGCCACATGCTGAGCAGCGCCAAAGGGGTTATGATCCCCTGGCAAAACGGCAGGATGCTGCATCACATGGCCAAGCCGAACAAGCACGGGAGTCACTGCCACCACAAAGCGATTCATGGTTTCATTGCTGTTCACACTAAGGCAAGCCGAGCATCATGGTGCGTAAGATTCATCCTTACTGTGGAACACAGACTTCCGCATTGAGGCATACTCGAAGGCAACAGCTTTCACACGTCCGGCAGGTGTCCGCGTTGCGGTACGCATGCTGGCTGGCTGGGGCACCCTGCGGTCAGCTTTACGCGCATCTCAGCTTTACGTGCATCCCAGCTTCAGCTTCAGCGCCCAGGTTCCACGACTTACGCCACGAATCTGATCTCCCAAGCCGGCTAGTCTCAGCAGCGCATCGTAAGCGCCCTCAGCAGATGCATGCAGATGCATGATGTTGTGGTTCTGCTGCGTGTGCCGTTCGTAGTCTGGTAGATTTGAGTAGTTCCTGCTGATCTACACAATGCGGCCCTAACATCGAAGAACCCCGAGGTGTACAAGATGCACTCAACGATGCACAACACCACTGGGAAAGCAAGTGACCCAGATAATCAGGAAAACCACGCCGTAGGGCAGCGCCTTGGAGTAGGTGACCACCTCGCAAGCGGCGACTATCCGACAGCCAAGAGGCTGAAGCACTGTGATCTTTCTGGGCAAATCGAGAAGAAATCAGTGGCCTACACTGCCCCAAGGCAGCTCCGATGCAAGACTTGTCTCGCGAACGTTGAACCAAACTGCCGAGCCCTGCTGAGCCCTGGCACGTACATAGACTGGAGCGTCGCATCACCATCGAATTCCAGACTGTGCGGTGCTCGAGACCAGTCCATGGCTCGAGCAGCCGAGATGCAGAAACTGTACACAAAGTGAGGCAATGGCCCCCGAGTCCGCGAAATTCCCGATGCTTACACATGCTGGTGTGAAGCTGAGGCAAACAAAGGGCCTCGGGAAATGCTGTGCGAAGGTCATGAGGCATGGCTTAGATGCTGATATATCCTGATCCTGCTCTCCCCGAAAGCTGTGCAGGGAGTAGCAGAGTAGCGTCCTTTGAATGTGACATCGCCCTGGAAAGACTGAAGCGGGATGCGGGGCGTGCATTCGTGACAGCGGCAGCTGCAGCATCAGTACTAGGCTACCCTTAAGGCCACGCGCGCTCAAGATCAGACCAAGCATTCAGAACAGTTGGCGGTCCCCAGGTGCCGGGCACGCTTTCCGTCCCGTGCAGCTGCATCCGGTGAAGCCCGGGCCTCCCAAACTTGGCCAAACTTGGGAGAGCGCTTCTTGTAGTGAACTTCAGTAGTGGGTTCGAAGTCCCACCCTGAACTGATTCGCTTCAGCAGCGTTTTGTTAGAGTGGTTTTTTGTGACCCGCTCAAGGAAACCTGTGGCGTCACCCCCAAACCCGAACCACAAGAAAAAGCCCAAACAAAAACTTTGAACAAACCGCTCGCCAGTGCTCTATCTCCATGTGAACTGTAAACTGTTTGATTTCTCGCTGCCATGGACTCAACGATGCGAAGGAGCCCGGCGGCACGTTGTCTTAGGGTGACCGGCGTCGCGCATTCGCACAAGGATGCTAGAGGGCGGGGGGGGGGGGGGGGACCGCTTAAGCGTGCTCGTCCTCAGAACCACCTTGACGTGAAGGGCACCTCAACCTTTCGCACAGAGAGATGTGAGAGACGGGGGGAACGCCGCATTAGGGGGATTGACTTGGTTTAGCAACGCAACTGACCGCCTGAACTTACAGGCACGTGCTGTGCAAGGGTAACAAGAAGTCCCAAGAAAATACGAAAGAAACACACAACAAGAAAGGCAGATAGGAAAAGCCAACCGGTGAACAGAGGCGGCGCCACGCGTGGGTGGGCGCGGCCCTTGAGCCCTCCCCAGCAGCAGAAGAGGAAAGCACGGCGTGCAACCACATGCAGCTGCAGCGTGTGGCTGCTCCCACCTGGAGGAGGGCACAAACGATGTCGTGATGACCTTCGCGCCGACGGACCAAAGATGTGGCATGATCCACGTTGTCTGTTACACAACAACCACTAGAAGCTGCTAGAGTTCTATCTGACTCCATATACTCCATGACCCATTAGTTTCCGCCAAGCATCCCCGACACACGAAAGACATCGGCAGAAACTGGAATGTCTTAGACGAAGACCCATGAGGCTGGCAAGCTGCACCTCATTAAGGCAGGCTTCACGTGGCTTCACATCATGTTGGTGCGCCGTTCTTGCTGTGCGTGCGAATCGACTTTCATCTGGGATGAGAACTGGAGTTTCACCATCCCGGCCGCAAGAGTCCACCTCGCAAGGCTTTCCTAACATCTGTTCGTGCCAGGTATGACAAGCACCCGCTGGTGCACAACTACCAGTAGAATGCTGAGACGCCTGAGCTTCAGCCGACAGCAAGGTGTGCGCAATTGCTGCACCTGCAAGGCTTCTGGTGCTTCAAGCTCTTGAGAAGCTGATGGCAGCTAGAGCGCAGGTCACAGTTCCTCTCTACTGCGCAACGCCGCTCTGCCCTTGTGGTAGGATCGAAGGAGGTTTATGTGCCCTTCGCCCCAAGTAGCGGAGGACTTTGTCTCTCTCGCATGTTACTCAAGCATTCAAGACACTGCAGATCCGAGACGCGCATCATGATAGATGCCCTTGCAAGGTGTCTGGAGCGGGGCAAGTGGGCAAGTGGGCAAGTAGGGGAGGTGGGGTAAGTGAGGCAAGCAAGTTGACTTCTCAGCTCCCCGTTTTGAACTGCAGCAATCTCCTCAGCGGCAAGGCCATTTCTTGCCAGACACAAGCTGGGGGTCCATCGAAATTGCGGGCTCTTTTCGGGTCGCCGTTTATCCTTTTTCGCTAGCTCGGATTGTTTTCAGGCCGTACCTTACAAGATTCCAGCAGCCTCGTGGCAGTCTGTGTAGAGCTGTTTCGACTGATCGAGACACGAGGCCCCCGTCAAATTGTGGCCCTCGGAAGGAGGCCGGGCAAGGAGCTCAGAATCTACATCAAGCCCCAGGTAGATCGTCCTTTGGCTCAGCTTTGGAGCCTGACATGAAGAGTCTCAGAGATTCGCCTGTCATGGTCCACCTCTGTGCCCATGAGCAGAAGACGTCCAGCAGAAGCTGAGCTCGGTCCTCGCTTCGGCTCAGTCCTCCAGGCTTCGAAGCATCGACGCCCCTTAAGCGCTGCCTTGGACAGGATCCTGAACAGGATCCTTTTCAGAGGCTTCTCTTCGGCTTCTTCAGTGCTTGAAGTCAGAGTGCTCGTCAGATCGGTGGGCTTCACGCGTTGCTCTCAGCTGTTGCCGACCTTATCCCACCTTTCCTTCAGAACTCGTCGTCACTTGCGGTGGTCCTGGGGCAGGCTTGACACCCTGACATCTGTGAAAACACAAGTGCCGCTCACTCCAAAGTGTTAATTTCAGTACGGAAATTGACATTGACATCCATGCTTCGAACCCCTCTATCTGTCCTGCACACCCCCACTTTATCACGTGCTGGATCACGTCGCTGAATCGTATGCGTCGTAGGCCGACGACTTTCAGGGCAGGGCGGGTGCCAGAGTTTCTTTTCCGACACATGCCTTGACTCCTACTGTCAACACGAGTCTTGCGCGCCTCAGCTGGTCTCCACAGCTCTTCTGGCAGAACGCGCCCCAACATCTCCTCTTGCAAAAGCCAAGGTCACAAAACTGTCATGAACAACCACGGCACAGTCCAGACAGCTCCAAGGAAATGAAGCCATCGACTTTGCAAACAAGTTTACAACGCCACAAGAGCATCGCTCCGGCAAGACGTAGCCCGCACACGTGTCCGAGAAATCACGCTCGCGCGCATCCCCGCCTAGATGATGTGTCACCAACAAGTCATCCACAGCAAACTCCAGCTACCAGCTCGCTCACTGTGACAAAGCAGCCGACACGCATCGAGCCAGCGAACGACCATCAGCCTTTCTTACCACAGCAGCAGTCGCACTGGGCCCCTTGCAGGCTCGCCAGACCTTCAAACTACAAAGCCTAGAGATGTTGACACATGTGGACATCGAGTCTTCAGCAAGCCGCACCTAAACATGTGGACATCGTGTCTTCAGCAAGCCGCACCGCTTGCACGCGCTCGCTTGTGCCTTTGAACCTGTCACCAAGCAAAGCTGCACGCCTCGCACGCAGTCTTCCGGAGTCGGTGGCAAGTCGCCGCCGAGGCTGCCTCACAGAGTTTCGCTGGCAATGCTGGGCATTCGTGTTCCCATTCTCACATTTGTTCCCCGGTTACCAAATGGGGGTTTATGAAAATTAGGTGTACCTTATTGGGGTCCGTATTAAACGGGGATCCCACTATTCGGGGGGTCTATTTTAGGGGTCTCCCATATTCGTACCCCCCAAACCGTTCCAGAAGTTCACTCAGCTCAGATGCCTGGCCACTGCGTGTTCGGCACGCAATGCGCTGCACAACGCCTGTGGGAATCGAATACGGATGCATAAAGGAGAAAGTGGTTGACGTCGGCATTCACCACATGTGGTAGTCTGCAAACCGGTTCGACTGCACCCTTTGATGCCACATGCTCATGTTGCTCAATACCTGAGGTTAGTCAGGGTCTGGTCTCGGCCCCACGCAAAAACAACCTTCCTGAACTTGAGAAGAACCCCTTCCCCCTAATTTTGACCCCCCCCCTGCCATACTCTAATTTAACCGTACTGGGAGTACTTAATATTAAGGGGTGGGGGAGGGTTTAATATTAGGGGGAGGGGATTACTGAGATTTTGCCTGCATGTACATCGACGCTGGAAACCACATCGCCGTCAGGCACCAGCACCACCACATGTCGGATACCTTGGGTTCACTGAAACATCTAGCCAAACGGAAACGCCGGCCAATGGAGATCCGGACCATCTACCAAAACTCCTAAGAAAAAAGAAAGAGACAGAGATAGAGAGAGAGAGAGAGACAACGTTTAACGCTGCTGCTGCGACTCTCTGGTGAGATGTGGAAGCGCCGCGCAGAGTACAGCAAACCTGCAGTGCTCCAGTGCTTCAATCATTCACTGCCAGCTTCTCCATTGATCCAGCACAAGTGTCCTGTTGTCCTAACTGCAAGAACGTTCATGATGCCTGCCTGGAGAAGAGAAAACGAGGGCCGGCACTTGCTGCCTGGCAGCTGCAGATGGCGGTTTACGATATTCGGGGGTACATTATTGGCGTCCTTATTATCAGGGGATCCTACTATTTGGGGGTCGATATTGGGGCCTGTTGTACTTTCGTAAACCCCCAAATAGCTTTTCCGAAGCGAAGGACAGCTGATCTAACTATCGCCTGCCCGCCACGATCTGGGCAATGCAGCCCCCCAAGGAATGGCCAGTTAGCACCTATCCAAGCGGTTCATGCCGTCTCACGCCCAAGGCAATGTCGCTCTCACCCCTGTGTGATCAATTCAGGTATGCACGGAGACATCTCTCTTTCCACGGCCCTCGTCGATGGCACGCTCCAGATCATCCCACATGTGGGCATCGGCCAAACCTAACAAGAATCAAGGGTTGCAGACCCGAAGTAGACTTTGCTTCAGAGAAGGCAGGTTCACAAAGGTCACCATGATGCGCCACCAGCAACAGCACCACAACCCTCATTATTCACCCGCATGCAGATCTCTCATCATTCATGTCAAGCGGCTAGTGTGGCCAACAATGCTTTGCACCAAGGATAGCGGCAGCAGTGAGAGGATCGGCACAATCTTCGACAAAGTTTGGAGCACCTCCACTGTGGTGGTTCCATAACATTTCTTCCTCCGTGCCCTACTGATATCTGTCCTACGAGTAGTGGCCTCGATTGTCGCGAAGAGCTTGATATCGGCGTAAACATCTCGCCACGAAGACCTTGAAGCAAGGTTAAGCAATGCGCTAGCACTGGTACCTTTTCAAACATCAGAAGCTCTTTCCAGCAATGCCGTATGCCATCTCGGCATTCTGTCCACTCACTGCTGTCTGGAGACGTGCCCTTGACAGCGAAGATGCGTGTATCGCCTGTGCACAATCGTTCTCGGAGGGCTTGGCTTTCTATTGAAGAGCTTCTCCTCGCCAACTTCAACATCCGGAGCTCTAGAAGTCTTTCGTGAAAGTCGCAATGTTGTAAAAAGTGTACTATGATGACAGCCTGAATCGCGGGACCTCAAGAGAAACGCATGGCTGCATGTAGTTGGGCCACGGGTCCTGGGTTGCCGCAGTGTTTCCTGCATATTTCCGGCTTTTCCTGCACTTTTCCTGTTGTTCGGCTTGGGGGGGGGGGATAAGAACGTCATTCATATTGCGTCCATGCACAAAACACTGGTATTTAGCGCGTTTTCGCCTCTTTGTACAACACTCTGTGCAAGGATGGGGGAACACAACACGTTGTCACAAGCGTCCATGCTTTTCGCGACGATGCCCAAAACACTGGCATTTACCGCGTTCTTGCCTTTTTGTACAACATACTCCACAAGCATGTGGAAAAAGCAAAGCTGTCAACAGCGTCCATGCCTTTGGCGTCCATGCCCAAAACACTGGTATTTGCGGCGTTTTCGCCTCTTTGTACAACATACTGCGCAAGGATGCGTTGTCACAAGCGTCCATGCCGCCCAAAAAACAGGTATTTACCCCGTTTCGCCTTGTTGTACAACATACTCCGCAAGGATGTGGAACAAGAAAAGCTGTCACAAGCGTCCATGCCTTTGGCGACCAGGCGCAGAACACCAGTGTTTACAGCGTTTGTGCCTCTTTGCACAACTTACTAAGGGATTAGGCTCCGGGTTAACACAGTGTATTTCAGAAACCGAAACGCAATGTAACAGTAAGAACCAAGCAGCAAAAAAGCAAGAAATCGGGTAGTTTTTGGGCACATGTTGAAGACTGTTTTTCAATAATCGTGTCAGAACCCAAGTAAAACGCACATTCCCCTTCAAAGAAAGTCCACGGCAACCCAGGATCCGTCGCCCCGGTAGTTCTCTAAGTTAAGGGTCCGTCTGTTAAGGATGCCCTACTACGTAGGGGACCCAAAAAAGAGACCCAAATTAGAGAACAACCCATGCGGCTACATGACATCATGCTCGCTACTGTACTGTACCTGAACTTACAAGGACTCAAAGCTCTGGTCTGACGACCGAGAAAAACATTCAGCTTGTCGTTTGCAAAAAGTCGATCAAGTCAAGTCGATATACAGTCGATATACATATACATATACATATACATATACATGTACATGTACATGTACATGTACATGTACATGTACAAATACAAATACAAATACAAATACATATACATATACATATACATATACATATACATATACATATACATATACATATACATATACATAACATACATATATATATAGCTCACCCCCCCCTAATGGACCCACCGGGTGGCAGCCGAGTCCTAGCCAGATCAAGGGAAAAACAACAAAACAAGAAACTAAC